AAGTGTGTGAAGCTAGATTTGAACTTAGGTCTTCCTGACTTCAAGGCTAATGCTCTATCCACTGTGCTACCTAGCTACTCCTAACTGGAGCCTTTTAAAGATGGCAAGCAGTATCCATCTAAAACCAGAAGCACACACTATCTGTAATGGGGATAAACCTGATGCCTTCCCAATAAGATCAGGAATGAAGCAAGAATGTCCATTATCACCACCATTATTCAGTATCACACTAGAAATGCTAACTATAGCAATGATAAGAAAAAGAAATTGAAGGTATAAATACAGGTAATGAGGAAACAAAACTATCACTCTTTGCAGATGATATAATGGTATACTTAGATAACCAATCAACTAAAAAACTAGTTGAAACAATAACTTCAGCAAAGTTGTAAGATATATAACAAAATCATACAAATCATCGCCATTTCTTTATATTACCAACAAAACCCAGCAGCAAAAAACAGAAAGAGAAATTCCATTTTTTTGGTTCTCTAATGATTTTTTATTGATATCTTTTATTAACATAGCCAAAATTTTCTGCAGTATTCTTCCCCTTGCCCCTCCACAGAACCATCCCACAAAAAAGTTAATGTTTTAGTGACCAAAAAAAACCAAAAAAATGGATTTGTGTACACATAATATGTATTATGTGTGTATGTATGTATGTATTTAAAAATCTAAGAATATGTGCAAAGGGGTGGGCATATTCTTGCCTATCACTTCTTTAGAATCACACTTCTTCTTAATAATTTTACAACATTCTCCTCCTCCCTCCTCTTTTTTTAACTTCTTTAAAAGATTTTATATCAATTTTTTTCTTATTTTAATACCCAAATTTCCTCAATATCCTCCTCCTGATGAACCATCTTATATAATAAATAACATTTTTAAAGACAAAAAGAAAATGAAAACTGATTAATATATTGAAAAATTGTGGAGTATACAGGTATGGGAGAAAAATCATCATAAATGATCGATACATTGAAAAAGTCTGAAAACATGTGCACTGTGTAACACTTGTGGATCCCTGACCTCCAATAAAGGGAATGAGGAGTGTGTCTTCTCATGTCTCTTCTTTTGAGCCATGTAGCCATGCTTGTTTTTCATGATTTTTCAAAATTCACTGTCCTCTCTGCTCTAGAACTGAAACCAGGGACTTTGTTCTCCTGCAAGTGCTCGCAGCCAACAGGATTCCTGCCCCTCTCCAGGTGTGTACCAGCTCCTTCTCCCTGCAGCCACAGCCCAGGATGCGTCAGGTCAGCACAGCTATGTTTGGCATCCCTCGGTAGTGGAAGGTCCTTCAATCTCCTACTCAGCAGTCAGAAACCCACACTATCTGTGAGATGAAAATGTCTAAGGCTAAGGCTGCCCCTCAACCCAGCTGCCCCCAGGGCTCGTTTTTTGTTGATTCTGCAGGGTCAGTCCAGAGGGGTTTGCACTTCAGTCAGGCCAAACCTTGGCCCCTGGAGGTTGGATCTTTCCTGATCTCAAATTGTCTTAGGAGGACAACTGTTTTACCTCTTGTTTGTTTCTGCTGCTCTGAGGTGATGTTCTGTCTTTTTTTTGTGAAGGAAATTTAGAGAGCCAAAAGTTTTCTGACCTACACCTCTATCTTCCCAGATCCAAGACAATTTCAAAAGACCTGTGATCAAAACTCTATCCACCCCCAGAGAGAGAACTGATGAACTCTGAATGCAGAATGAAGCATACTGTTTAAATTTCTTTATCTTTATTGTTTTATTTTGTTTGTGTTTTCTTTTGCAACATGGCTATTATGGAAATATGTTTTGCAGGACTTCACATGTATAATCAAAATCAAATTGCTTGCCTTCTCAAGGAGGTAGGTAGGTCGAGAGTGAGAGAGAATTTGAATTCATTTTTTTTTGTAATAATTGCTCAAAAAAATTTACTTGTAATTGAAAAATATTTAATGAAATAAATGAAAACAATTAAGAAAGAATAAAAGACTGAAAGAATGTGAGAAAAAGAGATCTAACCTAAAAGTGAAAAGGCAGCACAGGATTTCCAAAGGCACGGTGGATGAGGAGGACAAAGGAGGAAAAAGACCAAGCAAAGGGAGATCTGAACTGAATAGGGAAGAGAATGTGCAGAGAGGTAGCAAGAGAAAAGGGCTTCTGTATAAGTAAAGAACAGGAGGTGGGACTCCACTTTCCATAAAACAAGGAAAGTATCAGTTAATTGGTTTACTTAGTTACTCAAAGGATAGACAAGTAGATAGACTGCTGACCCTGAGGCCAAGAATCCTCCTCTTCCTGAGTTCAAGTCTGACTTCAGATGTTTACTAGCTGTTTGACCCTGGCAAGTCACTTCACCCTGTTCACCTGTCTCAGTTTCCTTATCTATAAAATGAGCTGGAGAAGAAAACAGGAAAAAAGAACAAGCATGACTATAAAGAAGAAATGAGAAAATACCTCCATCCCATCCTTTTGCAGAGGTAGGAGAAACACAGGTCTGGCACTTTGAGATTCTGGCTAGAGCCAGATCTAATAGGATGGAGAGGTCCAATTGTTAAATTTCCATTATGAGCATTTACACCTCAACGGGAAACCCCTCCAGCATCTTTGCCAAGAAAACCCCAGATGAGGTCATAAAGAGTTGGACGTGATGAAACAACTGAACAACAACAAAAAGATAGGTAGGTCAACAGACATGGTGGCTGGATGGTCATCACTGCACTCTTTCATCACAATCTCATGAAAGGTTAGAACAGCAATGTTAGTGATACAATTGCAGCACCTCCTTCCTTCTTTGGTGGCAGCCTATCTGCCTGGGCCTTTGGCGACCCTTGACTTCACTTTCTTGAGTGTCATGTCTTCTTCCTAGTGTAATATAGGATATAGGATGCTGAGGTGGCAGAGTCCAAACTGAGTGATCACTGCATGAGGCTAACCCAACATAGATGCATCAGCATATGTGCCCTGTTTAGCTTCCATTTGTTTTCCTTATTGCATCAGTAAGCAATCAATCTATAAACATTTATTAAGCCCCTACTACGTGCCAGGTTCTGTGTCAGATATTGAAAACAAAAGCCCTCTGGATGATCAGGTTTTGCTGGCTATCATGCTAAAGTCTCTTCAGCTGCTTTCTTGACATTTAGCAGAAGTTCTTATGTAATATTTTGCAAATGAACTTGTAGTCTAAACAACATATGCAAAGTGATGAAGTGTTTCCTGCTTGAAAGTAGCTCCAATGCTCTTTCACACTCCTGGTTATAATAATTCTTTTGCATCTGTTAAACAAATAATTATAACGCCAAATAGTATGGTAAGAGTATTAGCAAGAAGTTGAGCGATAGAAGTGAAGTACTGTATGAGGTATAATGAAGAACCTTTTAAAATTTTAAAGGCTTTTATAGAAAAATAAAGGTGAATGAACTTATGGTACATAGAAGTACACCCACAGCCAGAACAGAACAGTTTGAGAGATTCATGCCTGGGAGAAGGCCTGTTTTCCCTTATCTCATCAGGTATATCTTTATGTAAAAAAAAAAAATCATGTAACAAGTCAACAAAAAGAACAAATTGGAACATTTTGGAAAGTGAGCTGTTTAGGACAGAAACAATTCTCAAGAGCTATCTAAAGAACACTGAGACCAGCCAAAAGAAATATCATTAGTTTGGGCAAGTTTATTCCCATTGCAACTCCCCATCCATTGATCCCATATGGTTTTTTTTTTTTGTTTGTTTGTTTGTTTGTTTAAATAGATTTTTATTGGTAGCTTTTGTTTTTACATCAACTAGATTTCCCCCAGGCATGATAGAGTGCTGGCCTTGGAGTAAGGAAGATTCATCTTTGTGAATTCAAACAGGTCCTCAGACACCTACTAGCTGGGCAACCCTGTTTGTCTCAGTTTCTTCATCTGTAAAATGAGCAAGAGAAGGAGATGGTAAACCACTCCAGTATCTTTGCCAAGAAAACCCTAATTGGGGACACAAAGATTCAGACATGACTGGAAATAACCATAGATTTCCCCCTGTGCCTCTTCCCTGGCCCCTCCCAAAGAGTTATCCATTATTATAAAAACTTTGGTTTGAAGAGGAAGAAGAGAAAAAAGTCAGCAAAACTGGTCAATATATCAAAAAAAATCTAAAAATATAAGCAGCATTTCATATGTATGGACGTCCCCCCTCTGCAGATGAGGATAAGGGAAACGAATCTTCATGCTTTTTCTTTGGGGTCAGGCTTGTTCTTTGTAATGTTACAATTTTCATTTTTGGTTATTTTGTGCTTGTTCACTCTATCTACATTATTGTCGTCATCATGTATGTTGTTTTCTTAGCTCTGAATCAGTTTATATAAATTTTTCCATGCTTTTCTATATTCATCATATTTGTCTTTTTCTATAGCCCAACGACATCCAATAAAATTTGTATACCACAATTTGTTTAGCTGTTCCCTACCCAATGGGCATCTACCTTGTTTCCGATCTTTTGCTACCATGAGAAGTGCTACTATAAATATTGCAATGGTTTTGGATCCTTCCTTTTCATTAATAACTTCTTTGGTGTATATACCTAAAAAAGATTTCATATGGTTTAAAGAAATCTTATAAATTTGATACCATAATAATAGTACCTAGCATTTGTATAGCAGTTTTAAAGTTTACAAAGTTCTTTACAAATATTATTTCATCTTATCTTGACAATGACCCTTTGAGGTAGGTGCTATTATCATCCCTATTTTACAGAGGAAACTGAGGCTAAGGTAGGTGCTTTGCCCAGAATCCTACACTGGAAGGTAGCCAAGGCTGATAGCAAGTCTTCCTGACTCTGGGGACAGCACCCTATCCACTGCATCCCCTAACAGGCTCCAATTTCATTTCCCAAACTCATCTTCTCTCTTGGAAAGAAAGAAACATTTCTCTCTTATCTATGTTTTCTAGTGAAGTCGCGTAGGACCAGAGTCAGGGTCCAGTAAACCTGAGTTCTAAGTTCTAGTTCTGGTTCTGCTACTAACACACTGTGACCTTGGCCATTTCCCTGTATCCCAGGTGAGAGTGAAGAGAAACAGGCTTTCATTGAGCACCAGACACTATACTAAGCACTTTACAGGTATGTTATTTGATCTTCACAACAACCCTGGCAAGCGGGTGCTGTTATTATCTCCATTTTACTGTTGAGGAAACTAAAGAAGGCTATGGTTAAGTGACTTGCCCCAGATCACACAGCTAATAAGTGTCTCTCCCCAGCTCAGGCACAGAAGTTGGAGAAAATGACCAGGAGCCCACAAATATCCAGTCCCCATCTCTGACTTCCTAATCAGGAAACAATTTACATAATTTGTCAAAGGAGCCTTAATTTAGAGTTTGAAGACGCTCTCAAGGTCATCTAGACCAATCCCCTCATTTTACACAAAAAGAAACAGAGATCAAGAAAGATAAAGGTCCTCATCTGGGTCCAAGGCCAAACAGGTTTTAAGTAGAAAGAGTCAAGATTTGAGCAAAGGTCCCCCAACTCCAAATCCATTGCTGCCTCCATTGGACCAAAGAGAGTGGTTTAAAAATAATATGGCATGCAAGGAGTTCACACATGGATTCCAAGGACAAGAAAAGAGGTAGGGAGAAAGAAAGCTATCCAGGAGTCCTCACAGGTGGGTAATGCTTGTAGCATTTTCTCATCAGAGGGCAAAGACAGTATACCTCATATTTTTTCAGCTTCTTTTCCTGTAATATGAGGGAAGTAGGCTCAGTGGGTCACTAAGGCCCCCACCAGGCCCACATCTTCTAGAATTCAAAATTATTCAGTTGGTTTTCTGTTACAAATTAGCTTCCTGTGAATTTGGGTTTTGTGACTCAGTTTTTTATAAGCTAACAACATTTTCAGCTGGGTGACTAAAATTTCCAGTCCATGGGATTTATAACAGTAAGTACATAATGGAAATGTTGATACTTTTCCTGTAATAATTGGCCTTCCTTCTTGTATCCTACCCCTAGTTTATTCAACCCTTTGATCTTTTATACTGTAAATGAGACCATTAATAATCATTCCCACGTTCAAGTTCAGTCTTATCTTAGTCAGTATTTCTCAAACTTTTTTTTTATCTCAGCACCTTTTATATTTTTAAAAATTATAGATGACTCCTATGAGCTTTTGTTTGTATGGATTATATCTATTGCTATTTCCCATATTAGAAATTAAAACATACATTTTAAAGCATGTATCAATGCATTTAAAATAACAATAATGAACCTATATTATATGTTAACATGAATAATATTTTATGAGAAAGAGCTTTTTTTTTTAATTAGTGAGGGGGATAAGAATTCTGGGAAGATGGCGGAGTAGGTCAGAAATTTCCAGGCTCTCCAGATTTCCTCCACAAACAGAAAATCACCACAAAATGAGCAAAGAGAAGCAAAAATAAAGGGGTAAAGCAGTTGTCTCCCCAAGACATCTTGAGAGGATCTCAGAGAAGACTCCAGGGGCTGAGGATTGGCCTGAGTGAAGTGTAAACACCTCTAGGTCAACTCTATTGAATCACCAAGGAATAAGCCCTGAGGTAAGCCACTGGGCCTCAAGAAATTTCACCTCCACTTTCACATCATTCACCACCACAAGAAGTTTTACCTCATGAATTTTCACCCCACAAACTGTCATCTAAGGAACAGCAGAGGCTGAGTGAGGGAAGACTGAAGGACCCTCCGCTGTTTCTGGAAGTCATGGCTGGTGGTGCTGACCAGATGGGATCCCCAGCTGCCGCTGTGGGTAAGGAGGAACTGGCACAAGCCTGGTGAGTGTGATACCTCAGGGAAGAGAACATTTTTGGAACAGCATGGCTGAGGCTTAGTGGAGGAAGTGGAGGAAGAGAGGAGTCCCTGAGGTTGATCACCCAGATAGAATTCAAAAAACAACAATAAGGAGGACCTGAGGTCTAGGGCAACATTTCCCACAATTTGGGATTAAAACTTGATAATAATAATATTAAGCTGTTAAAAATAACATAAGACAAATTAAAAATAAAAATGAGTAAGCAAAGGAAAATGAACCCGACCATTGATAGCTATTTTGACATAAAAGATCTGGATTCATATTCAGAGGAAGATAGTGAGGAAAAAAGAGCTGCTCCTACCCTAAAGAGTAACATCAGCCCTGTGGCAAAGGGCTGGACTGCCTGTCCAGAGCCCACACTGCAGTAGGTGCTGTGACCCCACTGACCCAGGGTGTTCTTGGTTCCTTCCTACGTGGGGGAAACTGAAAATGACCACAAGGTGGAGGTCAGAACCACTGAAGCTTCTGAGAAGTCCAGAGACAATTTGGGGTTTGCAAATTGAGCAGTGTGATGGCCAGCTCAAGGGAATGGAAGCCATCATGAATGCCCTACTGGAAGATGATATCTGTATTCTGAACCATGAAAAGACTCAGAGGAGAGATACCATCACTCATATGTCAATCTATGCAGGAGATGAGTCTATGGCAGTCCTGCACCACACATGGCTAGTGGCCCTCTGAAGGATTTCCAGGGGCCCATGAAAACGTAGGGTTGCCACTGCATACTCTCCTGTTTGTCATGTGACCTGTGACAACCAACCTTTTGTCAGTCTGTCTCTAGTCTAACCTTTCTGCAGCCCGAAGAAGTTTAGCCTATTTTAATTTCGGCTCCTACGTACTGCCAAGTTGTACAGGTCTGGTCTGTGGCTTCCCACTTTGTGCTTGTCCTAGAATATGAGGACATTTTAAGGAGAATTCCTTCTTAAAGAAAAAAAAATATGATTTCTGGAAGAAAAGCTTCTTGAAACTCAATTAGATGAAGAAATAAGCTCAGTAGGACAAGAACAAATAAACAAGCCTATCATGCTTATGGGGAAGTCTGCCTAGACAGAGATAATTTGAAAAAAACAAATTGGACAAAATGAATAAAGCCAACTCTGAATCTTTGAAAGTGTTAAATGAATGCCTACAGACTGAAGTCAAGCTCCTCCAGCTCCAGACCAAGGTTGAAACTCAGCAAGTAATGAGGAATCTAAGTCAACTTTCATCTAACTGGGAGGTAGGAAAGTGGAGCAATGTCTTGAAAATCCATGCTTTGGAACAGGAGCTGGAACTGATGAGAAAGGAATTTACTAGTCTAGGAGTAGAACTTCGAAAGTCTAAACACAAGGATCAGTCTCAGGAAGACAATCTCAGTAACACAGACTTCCAAAGGCCAAGCATTCCAAGTGATAACATGCAACATGCCCATGGGAACTCAAGAGAGAAATGTCTAATTTACATCTTGGGACTCAAGTACAAGCTGACCTACTAAGAAAATCTAAAATCTAAAATGCCACCTACAATCAAGAAAGCTTGTATGCCAGTCCAGTGTGTTGAAAACCTAATGAAGGACTGCACAAAATTGCATACGATGTCTTTGACCACGACCTACAAAAGACAAGCTCCTCTTTCACCAAATGGCGAAGCCCTCTGTAGTGCCATGGGTTCTCCTCTGTCTGGAGATACAAAGATCTTATTGTCTCCAGTCATGGGCAGATGACGAGAGTGTCATCCCTCATAGTGGTACAAACTTTCAAGAACAGAATTCCTGTGGCAGAAATTCTTTAGAAGACAATTCATGGGTATCCCCAAGCCCCTCAAAGTCTAGTGAGACAGCATTTGGAAGTAAAAGAAAAAACAACTTCCCCCAAGCTGTATCACCTGGATCGGCATAATCCAAACTGCCTTTACAAGAACTAATTCAGAAGAGACTTGTAGTCACCTTAGGAAGAGCTGTTTGGCATCGGGAAGATGTGCAAGAAATACATGTAAGGAATTGGTTCCATTGTGGCATAGTCTTTCTGTGACTGTCCTCAATTTCAAGTACACTTGGATTTGCACGTACTGTCCTGCAATTGTGTAGTTAGGTTTGTTTCTTTCAGTATAGACTAAAACATCTGTGCTAACCAGCTCTATTTTAGTTAAGTATAGACATATGCACTACATAATAAATTACAGGAATTCTGTTAGTGTTTTTAAAAGGCAGCTCTACCTTTGATAGCAATTGCTATAGCTTTAGACATCTCAGGTAAAGAAAAATGATAGGAACTAGTTTTTGAGCTTGAGTTCAGAAATATAGACACAGGTTTTGTAAGGTGTCTAAATCATAAATATATTCACTCACAAGAATAATAGAAAGGTTGATGGAATTTTGGTTCAAATCATGTAAATTACCAAAAAAATAAACAAACAAAGAAACAAACCCAAAATAAAACAAAACAAATCCTGCCTAGGGGAGTAAGCAAGTAATACAATGTATTTCAGTTCCCATTGGTCTTTTTATGAACACATACAGATTGTGTTGGAAATATTGAGACAGAATAAGTGTTCTATGGATAGACCATTTCTGTATACCATTTTAGTTCAAATTTTCAGAATTAAAATTGCTTTCTAGGCCCAATGGTGCTTGTTACCAAAATACTAGAATGGTCACCATTACTTCTGTGTGATTTTAATTCTGTTTACAACCCAGACCACTCAACCAATGGAATTGGCTCTAGAGCATTCAATTTAAAAGTAAGGTTTTCTTTTTTTTTTATGTAAAAAAATGACAAAATAATTGAAAAACTTTTTGTGGAAAAACTACACATTACTAATTGGGTGATAGATGGAGTCAGGTAGAAAATGTGTTAAAATTTTAGACGTATCAGTATGTTAAGAGTTACACGTGAGTATTCAGATGTGTAACTGACAAAAGGAATAAATTGTCCCCAAGAGACCACACTAGCTGCCTTTTCTTTAGTAAAGCAGTTTAATTTTAAAGTGGCAATACATTAACCTCATGGAGAAAATTTCAAATTTAGTGAAGGATCATTAATGAATTTTTTGTTGTCAGAGTTTTGCAAGTGCAAACTGAATTGAACAGATTACAAGTATGGAAGAAACAGCTGGCCTTCCAGGGAGCTTTATGGTAATGATTGTGTATCTGTTACTTGTAACTTATGCCATCCAGACATTTCCTCGTATACAGACCTTTTTTGCCTTGGGACGTCTAGTATTTCATGTAGAATGCCTTCTCCCTTTTTTTCTTTTCAGTACTGGGCAATTTGGTGTTACTTAAATTCACAAGAATTCCTCAAACCTCCTGCTGTGTTACTGAACAGTATACATAAACAAGACCAAAAATTGTTTGTATCTATTATCTTACTCAAGTATACTGGCTTTAGTAATGGAAATGGTGTCAGATGTTGGAACTTATTCTGACCAATGAACACAGTTGACTCAAGGGAGTACAATCTCTTGCAAAGTCATAGAATAAACCCAATATGCATAAAACAAATACAAGTCACTAGGCTTTAGCTCATAGAACCAATTAACTGTGTAATAACAAAGTGGCAGAAACTATTTCTCATGTGGCTGCATAGACTGTATATTAATGTCTGATCTGTAATGTAGCTTTACTGGTGTTGCTTTTCCTTAACCAAAATTGAGTCTTTCTTTTTTTTGGGTAGTAAATTGGGAGAGACACTAGCTTCGATGACATTAAGAACTATACAAAGATGAAATCATATTGTTTGATTTAAATACACTAATTTTATTTGAATATGAAAAGAGTAACATCAAATGGTCACAGGCATAAAAAGAAATCTTGGAAGCACTTAAAAAGTTAAAAAGGAATTCAAAAATCAAGTAAGAGAGAATGAGGAAAATTTGGAAAAAAATAAAAGTAATTCAAGAAAATTATGAAAAAAATAGTTAACCAATGGAAAAAGAGATACAAAATCTTAAGAAAGAAAATAAAAAGGAATTCAAAAATCAAATAAGAAAAAACAAGGGAAAATTAAAAAAAAATAAAAGTAAGCCAAGAAAACTATGAAAAGAGTTAGCCAATTAGAAAAAGAAACAAAATCTTAAGGAAGAAAATAACTCCTTGAAAATTAGAATTGGGGAAGTAAAATTGAACGACATCATAAGATACCAAGATATAATAAAACTAGAAAAAAACAGAAGAGAATCTGAAACATTTCATGAGAAAAACAACTGATCTGGGGAAGATATCAAGGAGAGATAATGTAAGAATTGTCAGTCTACCTGAAAGTTATTACCCAAAAAAAGTATCTGGATACAACATTATAAGAAATTATTAAATTACCCTGAAGTTCTAGAACAAGAAGGCAAAATAGAAATAGAAAGAATCCACCAATCACCACCTGAAAAAGGTCCTAGGAAGAAAACTTACAGGAATGTCATAGACAGGTTCAAAATTGCCAGTTAAAGAGAAAATATTGCAAGTAACAAGCAGAAAAAAATTAAATACTATAGAAAAGCAATCAGGATTTCACAAGACCTAGCAGCTTCTACACTGAAATACCATAGATCTTGGAACATTATATTTAAAGAGCAAAGCAGCTGGAGTTGCATCCAAGAATAACTTATCCAGCAAAGGTGAGTATAATCCTGAATGGAAGAAAATGGATATTTAGTGAATGGAAAGACTTTCAGATATTTTTAACAAAAAGACCATAATTCAACGGAAAATTCGATATAAAAGATCCAGAAGAAATAATAAGGAAATCATTAAAGACTGATTATAAGGCACTGATTAAGATCAAACTGTTTGCTTATGGTATATGAAAATGTTATTATTAGTAGTAATTATTAGTTGTTATTATTAGTAATAGTATTCTTAAAGCTATTATCATTACTAAGGTAGTTTGAAAGAAAGATTGAGGCTGAGTTGAGTATGATAAAGTGATTCTAAAAAACAAAATTGGGTAGGGAAAGGTTAAAAGGACAAATTATCATTTAAAAATGGAGTGTGAAAGAAAGAACTAATACAGAGGAAGCAGGTGGGGGTGAAGGGCTAGCAATATTGGAACTTTACTCTCATCTCATACAACAATGCATATATCTGAAGAGGTTTAGATGTCTTCTAAACTTCTAGAGAGGAGAGAAAACTAGGGTATATGTTGGAAGAGAGATTTTTAGAGGAGTGTGTCGATTGGGACTTAAGAGGGTGGAGGAGAGGATGGGGGAACTTTTGGAGGACTGTGTGGATTGAGATTGAGGGTGGAGGGAAGGGATGGGGGATTCTTGGGGGTGTGGGTAAAGTAGGAGAGAGGAGGGTAGTGGAAGAAGATAAAGTGATAGGGATAAGGTAAAAAGAGAGGCTGAGAAGGAAAATAGTGAGTAAAAATAAGATGGAGGGAAATTCACAGATAATAATTATAACTTTGAATGTGAATGTGATGTTCATAGCACTGTCTTTGTGGTGGCAAAGAACTGGAAATTTCAGGGATCCCTATCAATTGGGGAAAGGCTGAACAGATTGTGGTGTGTGGTTGTGATAGAATACTATTGTGTTCTAAGAAGTGATAAGCTCATTGATCTTAGAAAGGTATGGAAAGTCTAGCATGAAATGATGAGGAGCAAAGTGAGCAGAACCAATAGAACATTGTATACAGTAACAGCAATATTGTTTTAAGAATGACTTTGAGTGACTAAGTCATTTTGACTATTATAAATATAAAAATGAAAAATAATGGACATAGAGATACTATTTCTGCATCTAGAGAAAGAATTGATAACTAGAAGTATGTGTAGAATTATTTTACATATATATTACATATAACTGTATATAACTACATATGTATATATGTGTGTGTGTATATATGTATACACACACACACACACACACACATATATATATATATATATATATGTAACTATTTGTGTCTAATAGTAGCCATCTCTAGGATAGGGAGGGAGGAGGGAAAAAAAAGAAATTTACATGATAACAGTATTATATTTGGAGGGACTAGCAAGCTGTACATGGTAGATTTGTAGTTTCATGTGTAATCATCTTTTTTATTGTACTGTGTTACAGAAATGTTTGTTTTGTTCCCTGAATTGAAAATAAAAAAAATTTTTAAAAATTAGTGAGAAGAGTGACCTTGTTTTACATTTTTTGGCAGATCTCTTTAATGTCTGGCTTAATAGAAAACAGCTTGACTATCATATCTGCTTCTGCATTCAATCTGTTGTGATATATTATTTGGATTGACATACATGAAAAAAATCTGGCCTCACACAGATGTGTAGTTGGGAAAGTGAGGAGTATTTTAAAAAGCAAATAATACCCTATTATTGTTGTGAAGATCGTTTTGACCTTGAGTACCCCCTGGAAGGACTCAGCGATACCCTCCACCCCCACCCAGGGAACCTTGAACCATACTCTGAGAACTACTGCCCAAGGGCATAGGAACTTATCTATCTACTGAGCTGGGACAATACAAGGATATACGGATCCGAAATCTACCACAGGTTCAGCATCCTAGTCTACTGGTGGCTATTCTCTGGCTTCATATCTCAGCTTAAGTAATTGAGCATATTCATAGGATCATAGATTTAGTGTTGGAAGGGATACTAAAGGCTGTGAAGTTCAATTCTCATTTTAGAGATGAGGAAAATGAGGATGAAGAAGGTACAGGGACTTGCTCATGGTCCCAAAGCTACTTAATATATGAGATAGCATTCAAACTACTGGTCTTCCTGACACTAAATATACAGTTCCATCCATAAAACCACCTAGCTGTCTCTGTGACTAAACCTTTATCTAGTCCTGCATCTTATTCTTATGCCTGAGATCCTGCCTTGGTTTTCTCTTCAGTTCCTCTGGAAATGGGTCCTTCCTTATCTAGTACTCCAGCCTATGTGTTTCCCAGGACTAAATAATCTGTTCTTCAGCCCCAGTTTCTATGGCTAGTTTTCTACTTGCTGTCAGACTTCTTTAATGCCAACTAACTTCACCTACCTGCCTGGATCTCTACCTATTGTCTACTAAAAGATCAAGAAAGATTAGGGCTGAGTTGAGTATGATGAGGTGATTCTGAAAAACAAAATTGGGTAGGAAAAGGTTAAAAGGAGAAATTACCATAAAAATAGAGCATGAATTCGATTCAACATCTATTAAGCTTCTACTACATACTGTAGTAGAGACCTTCAATCACTATGCTGTAGTAGAGATACAAAACACATAAAAAAAAAAAACCTTGTTCTCAAGAAGTTTACATTTGATTGGGGTGAGTTATGATATGTATATAAATAAGCAAATACATGGTATATAAAAATGTTATGAAATAATCTCCAAAAAGAGAAAATGTTAATAACCCAAGAAATCAGGAAACATCTAACACTGGAGATATTTTCTGGTGCTTGAAAGAAGCCAAGAATTCCAAGAGGAATCTAAGAGGTAAAGAGGACATGCATGCCAGATACATAGGACCACTTGTTCCTTCCCTCTGAGATTACCCCTCCTTTGCACAGTGTATATCTTGTTTGCACATAGTTATTCGCATGTCATTTCTCCCATTAGAATGTGAGTTCCTTGAGCTCCAAGACTATGGAATGTTTTTGCCTTTCTTTATATTCTCAGCACTCAGAATAGTGCATGGCACATAGTAAGCTCTTAATAAATGTTTATTGGCTGATGATGTTTATTGATTGATTGATGTGTAAAAACCCAGAGACAGGAAATGAAATATCTTGTGCTGGGGAATAGCTAGTAGACCAGTTTGTCTGGAAAACATATTTTATGAAGCATAATTTTGTTTTTTCTGGAACCTTCTTTGAGCATTTGTCTGACCCTGGTGGCTCTGCTAAGTCTTCAGATGCTTGAAACCCTTAGTCTGTTTTTAACCATCTCTCACTAAGCCCTGCTTCTGACTTTTCTGAACCACTGGCCTCACTATTTCTGAAGCTGTTCTTATGTTTGCTTTTAGGGCAGCTAGATGTTGCAGTGGACAGAATGCCAGGCCTGATCAGGAAGACTCATCTTCCTGAGTTCAAATCTGGCCCCAGACACTTACTAGCTGTGTGACCCTCAGCAAGTTACTTTACCCTGTTTGCCTCAGTTACCTCACCTATAAAATGAGCTAGTGAAGGAAATGTATCTTTGCAAAAAAACCATAAATGGGGTCACAAAGAGTCAGATATGACTGAAAATGACTGAACAATGTTCACTTTGGTACAAAGAAAGAAAAGATGCAGTGTGGTTTTTTTTTTTTGGCAAGGCAATGGGGTTAAGTGACACAGTGTGTTCTATTTTTCCCTCTTTGTTGAGCAAGCAACCCCCTGAATTTCCAAATTTCAATGATAGCTTAAAATGAAATGGAACAGATCCCATTATCTGAAATTCTCTAGGGAGATAGTAAAATGAATGGGTATTAGTCACACTTCAAGAAAAGGAGGAGATAATCTGCAGCGTCTGTTTTAAAAAAATAAAAGATAAGGAGGGTACATCCTGAGGAAAACAGAACTACATTCATAAATCTGCCTGAAATGCAGAGGGTGGGGAATGGCACACCCCAGTCCTGGGTTAGGATACTTAAAGGGAAGCCTACCTGTTGGGTCCAGAGACAAAGGTCTCCAGAAGAAGACAGAGAAGAATCCCTGTCAGATTTGTGATCGTACAACTCAGAATCTGAGTTAGAAGCATCTACGAGGTCCTCAGCTCCTACCTGTTCTATAGTGATTGCAGTAACGTGGAAGATCCTCTCTGAAGTCAGCCCTGTGGTGAGGTTCCAAAGATTCTTTTGGTCAGTGCACCCTATCTCCCCATCACTGCACTTAAAAACGGTCCCAGATCCCTGGCTTGTCAGGTGATGGAAAGCCTAATAGAGGTGCAATGGAGAATTTTTTTTTAAATAGGGTGGATTTTTCCCTCCTCTTTTCAATTGCTTTTAAAAGAAGAAAAACCCTACTCCCCTCTTTTCCCTTTCCATCACTCTTTCCTCCTATTTTCTTTGGTTGACCAGGGTTCACCTGTTTAAATTGTCTAACTGGAGTCCGTTGGAATCCTTTGTTTATTATTATTGTTGCTTTTATTATTTATTATTGATGTGTATTATTGCTGTTGCTTTAATTCTTGTTTTAGTGAGGCAAAGAGGTATGGGGCAAAGTTCACCACACTGGACATCAGTCCAGAATCCTAGATTCAAATCCTAGTCCCTACACGTAGAGATTATGATAACATAGTTTTATTGGGATGGATTGAGCAAAATACCTTATAATATTTAAAGCATTACCAAGCTCTAGACAGCTAGGTGGTGCATGGACAGACCCCTGAATCTGGAATCAGGAAGATCTGTGCCTGAATCCTGCCTCAGGCACTTACTAGCTATGTGACCACGGACAAATCACTAAACCTCTCAGTTTTCTCATCTGCAAAATAAGGTTAATGCTAGTACCTGCTTCACAGGAATGTTGTGAGGATCAAATAAGATAATATGGGTGTAGCATTTTGCAAACCTTAAAACACCGTGTGTAGCTATTATTATAAACGTGAATGAGTACCATCATTATCTTAGTCATAGGGTAGTTGTGAGATAAAATTCATAAAACACTTTGTAATTGTAAAGTCCTATATAAACCTGAACTGTTCCATTTTATGCACTGCTTTGAGGTATAAATCACTGTAGTAGATGGTACAACTATGATTATCCCCATTCTATAGATGAAGAAAATCAAAGTCCAATAAGAAAAGTGATTTGCCCACAGTTACATGATTGAGAAATGGAAGAGTTAACATTATTGTTCTATATTTCCCAGTATTACTGATAATAGCAAAACCTGGTATGTATATAGTGCTTTAAGTTTGCAAAGAACTGAGATAATAGGCATATTATCTTCTCTATGTGTTATAATAATATTTTGAGGTAGGTATTACTATGTCCATTTTATAGATGAGGAAATTCAGTGTCAGAGAGGTTAAACAAGTTGGATATGATCACACAGCTCACAAATATCAAATGCAAGATTTGAACTGAGGTCTTCTTGACTCCATGTCTACTGTTCTATATGTATGTGACTGAGGAAGCTAGATGGCAGAGTGAGCAAGTCTAGTCTACAAGCATTTATTAAGTACCTACTATGTGCTAGGTACTAGGCTAAGAGCTGTGGATACAAAAAAAAAGGCAAAAAAATTAGAACAAAACAAATGAACCCCTGGTTTGCTCTCAAGGAGCTCCCTGGACTTGAATTCAAACCCTGCTTCAGTTACTTGCTAGCTGTGGGAACCTAAACAAGTCACTTAACTTCTCTGGGCCTCAGTTTCCTCATCTGTAAAAGGAAGGGATTAGATGGATTTGTTGACCATTAAGGTCCCTTCCAGCTTTAATTCTGAGTCTACAGGATGAATCTGTAATAATCTCAGCAACAGAATGAGAAGAGTCATTATTTGCTGCTCAAAAGAATTAATTAAGCTTGGTTCCTCCCCTCCCCCACCCAAAGAATTGGATTCGAGACAAGGAATAAGACACGACATCTTCATGGGATTCTTTTTTATTACCAGATAGATAAAATTATGCTTCTAATAAAATACCTAGATATTACCATCACATCCATCAAGTGGGCAGTAATTTACTCCACTGGTGACCTTGTGGAATTCCTAATTAGATCTCATCAGTAAACAAAATGGAAAAATTCAATAGCCCTGAAGCCTCTTGAGCAGGTTTATAGCCTGTTATTTAGAGAACGAGCTAGTTGAGAATAGGATGATTTCATTCTTTGTATGTGTATCTTCAGCACCTACCACAGTGTTAGGTACATAGGTATCTAATAAACACTTGTTGACGGTTAAAAATTATATTCTGATTGATACAGTTGCCACGACTCCTCACATAGATTACCAATTTTCAAAGAAAAATTATTTTACATGAAAATTGGAACAGACAGAATTTTATCTTCTAGCAATTCAGAAAGGGTGATGCAAGATCTCCTAATGCCTCAGCATTATCAGTTCTCACTACACTAGCAAAGCTAGTACATGAAGTACAGAAGTACATGCTGTTAAGAAATTTCAGTTTGAAATTCAAAATAAATTAATTTAAAAAAAAAAAGAAATTTCAGTTTGACACAATGGAAGATAGTAGTCAAAGGAACATTGTCCATCATCCACCTTTTCAAAAATGATCACATAGGAATCTTCCCCTGGCTAGTCAATCAATGCCCTAGCAAAGATGGGAGTTGCCATTTGCTCTTAGCATCACAGAATGGTGAAATTGCTGAGAAAATTGGAAGGCTCTTGCTTTACTTTGTATCTATGTAGTTGTGGTAGGGTTGGTTCATCATTGCAAGAGTTACACAACTAGAGCTAGTGTTCTAGTTTCTACATTCTACATCTAGAAGCAGAAATTTGGGCCCAAGGCTTCTAGGTCCAAATCTACTACATTAAGGTACACTGAAAAGGGAAACACTTTCACAAAGTGATGCTAAGTCCTTGACTCAACCTGCTAGGCACTGGGAGAGAGAAAAATTCGGTGCCAGAGTGAGACAGAAATTTTTTTCAGATCTTCCTCCACAGCCAACAATCATTTATTAAATGCTTACTCTGTGCTAGGTACTTTGCCTAATACAGTTCTAGGGGATACAAATACAAGCAAAAAGGGTGAGGGAAGGAGGAAGGAGGTGAGATGAGCACGATAGTGAGGGATGGCTCATGTGAGATTCCTCATCATATGATTGAATAAGAACTTTAGTGGGTGAGCATATTTTGAAAGTAAAGGGGAATTTTCTTTGATGCTCTAAGCAGCTTGCAAATAGACGTTAAAATATCTGAATGTCAGTTAAATTCATTCAACAAGCATTTTCAATTCAATCACTTTCCCGTGAGAACTGATAATGCTGAGGCATTAGGAGATCTTGAATCATGTTTTCTGAATTACTAAAAGATTAAATTCTATCTGTTCTAATTTTCATGTAAAGTGATTTTTTTCTTTGAAAATTGGTAATCTACATGGGTTGTTGTTTATCAATCAGAATATAACTCTTAACTATCAACAATACTCAATTCATTATCAGCTCAGCCTCCGCCACATGCCTGGCATAGTTTTAGGTACTGGAAATACGAAGGCAATAATTAAATGATCCTTGCCCTGAAGGAACTTATATTCTATTGGGAATTTACATTTTAGTCATTTGTTAAAAACCTGTTGTGTACTGGATACTCTTTGGTGTCCTGGGGGAGATACAAAATCCATATAAGATATAGTATTTTCTCCCATGAAATCCAGTCTTATAGGGTAGTATCCAATAACACATGATAACTACATCACAGTCCTCTGAGTGAGAGGCTAACATTTCTTCTTGCCAGGAGGATGGCACAGTACCTTGATGATATTTTTGCATTCATCCTTCCATTTCAGCAGTACTAATAAGTGAGTTGTTTTACTCGGGTTTTCTCACCAGAAAGCACAGAAAGTAGAAACCAGGAGCCAAAGAGCCCCTGCACTGAAAGAGTAACTATCGGAAGACTTGTCTGCTTTTTCCCCTGACACAGAAGACCATGGTCAAGAGAGTTGCAGTCATTGGTGCTGGGTCCTGTGGTCTTCCTGCTATTAAGTGTTGTCTGGATGAGGGGCTTGAGCCCACCTGCTTTGAGCAGAATGATGATATCGGAGGACTCTGGAAATTTCAGGTAAGGAATATTTCCTATCTAGGTCAGTTTTATTTTTGTATGTTGCTATTTTGTTTGTTAAAACAAAAAGTATTGGTAATATAACTGATGAAACCTGATAAAAGTCTATTTTTTTCTAAAATGTAGAACTAGGTGGGACATCCTAGGATAATGAAAAGGACATTAGATTTGGAGTCAGAAGTCCTGAGTTCTAATCTGCTTGTTTCCTGTGTGACTTTGGGCAAATCATTTAACCTATCTGGGCCTCAGTTTCCTCATCTGTTAAATGAGGGTGCTGACCTACAAAATCTCTAAGGCCCTTAGAGTTTTAAACTCTATTATCCCTATTTTTTTTTAATTCCTAAAGAACTGGCCTTCCATTTATTGAATGTAGAACTGGAAGTAACCTCATAGGTCATCAGTTACAACATCCTCATTTTATAGATGAGGAAACTGAGTCCCAGAGAAGCAAGTAGCCTTGCCCACATTCACACATGTACTAAATAAGAGAGGCAATATTGAGACCGAGGCATTCTGACTTCAAATCTTTCCACTTTGCCTCAGTGCCTTCCATTTCCCTCTTGAAATAGAATTCAAGTCTAATTAAGAAAAAAAAGATAAGTCTAGAATTCTACCCTTGCTGCCCAAATAAACTGAACTACATAGCAGAACATTTTGTAACAAGCCACAAAAATAGAATAAATGATAAAAATCAGATCATGCTTCAAAGATTTTCCGATCTAAAAAAAAATAACCAAATTACTGTCTTTCAAGCTCTGAATTTTTTTTCTTAATTTGTGATCATGTTATAAAATCCAAGACCCCAGGCACATGCCTGAAAATTTGCTTGTGATTGTTACCTTGGATAGGCGTGAATGCCAATTGAATGATGGGGGTATTAAAGTTCTTGGTCATTCATTCCTGAGGGTCTTGCCTTGTTCCAGGTGTTTTATCTTCTTATCTTGTGGGATCAGCTATAATTATTTTGTATCTCACCATATTTTCTTTCTTTGTGAAATTGTGGGGTTGAGGGACAGGAGGACCTGAGTTCAAATCCGGCCTCAGATCAAACATTTGACACTTACTAGCCGTGTGACTCTGGGCAAGTCACTTAACCCCAATTGCCTGGGGAAAAAAAATTGTGGGGTTGAAGAAATTTGTATAAAACCATTATTCTGCTATCTTACTAGTCATTTGATCCCTTCCTCTATTTCCTAATAATAACCAGAACCTCAGAATCAGGAGAGACCACTGAAGTCATTTAGTATTACTTGAATAAGCATCTCTTCAACAAAACTCCCAACATGCCAAGATAGCCCATTCCATTTTTGGACACCTCTAGTTGTTAGGAAGTTGTGGGGGGGGGGTTGTTTGTTTTTTTATTGTTTTTTTATACCACACCTAAATTTACCTCTTTGCTTATAATCATTGCTGCTGTTTCTGTCTTCTACAGTCAACCAGAACATATACAGTCCTATTACGTTTGACAACCCTTCAAATATTTAAAGTCAGCTCTTATGTTCCAATACCACCGCCACCACCACTACTGAGACTTCTGCAGGACAAATATCTCTGATTTACTTCATCCTGTGTTCATGAATCTTAGCCTCTAGTTCCCAAACCATCCTTAAATGTGCTTCTACATTACCCATATGTCCACTTTTCCCATCACTTTTTCACTCCCCCAATTTGCCTTTAATTTCTCTGCAAAGTAAGTCAGTGTTCATTTTGATGGCCACTGACCACATTTACACAGAGGTGGGAACCATGACAGAAATGTAATAAAAAAAAAATCCCCTTATCCCCTTTCCACAGAAAAAAATGTCAGAAATTGACTTGGAAGTTCCTAAGGCTTATAAGAGTACTTTGAAAAGTGCTTACAATTTTCATAAGCACCTTCATTCTTATCTTTTCACTTTATCTTTACAACAGCCCCATAAAGTAGATAGGATTGGTATTATAAACCTATTTTACAGATGAGGAAACTAAGACCCAGTGATGTTATGTGACTTGTCCATTGTCACACAGTTGGTTAGCATCTAGATGTCTTGATTCTCAATTCTCAACTGTCTTCACTAAACAAACATTAACCATTATCAATTACTTTTGAAGTGTAAAGAAGTAGTAGATAAAGTACGGGTAGTATATATTAATGATATAATTGAATGGTGTACAAAATAATTAGATTATATTAAAATAATATATATTGAATTTTAAAATAATTTTCATTTGTCAAGATATTGGTTGGAAAGCAGAGGCATAATTTTTAATTAAGGGCCCTCAAGAAAAAAAGTTCAACCCCCCTGTGTTAATTTCAAACTAAACCAATGTCAGTTGCAAGGAGGTACTTATTTTCCTGCACATTGGGTTTTGTAGTAATATAAACAGTTATGCTAGGAAAAAATATCCAAGTATTTATCTACCATTGGACTGGTCATGGAGTAAATATCGTACAGACAGAAACAAGAACATCCAGGAAGAAACTTTTTATGAGAATTTGACGCTTCTTTGAGGATTAAAGAAAGACAGAGAGTGATCTTTTGCCTACGTGATACAAAGAACCAGGGATTTGTAAGATTTACGGATTTGATCTTGGATGACAAACTTAAACAGTTTGGGCTTGCTTACTTCCTGAAGGATAAAACTGTCGAGGGAAGGGCCAGCATATATAAATCCCTGACAATTAACACATCTAAGGAGATGATGGCCTTTAGTGATTTCCCCATCCCAGAAGATTATCCCAACTACATGCACAATAGTCAAGTCATGGATTACTTCCGGGCATACGCCAAGCACTTTGGACTGCTGCCATACATATCCTTTAAGGTAAGACATGGGGAACATTGTATTATCTATAGGAAAAAGTACCAGCTCCTCAGTTTTGCCCTTAAAGTCCTTCATAATTTGGCTCATGCTTAGTTCTGAGGGCTTTTTGCCTGTTATTCCCCTTGACATGTTCTACATTCCTGCAAAATCCACTTTCTGGCTCTTCTCTGAACTTGATCTTCTCATTCCAGACTCCTTGATTTTGCACAGACTGTCTGTAATGCCTAGAATGTGCTGCTTCTTCATTTCCGCCTCTTAGAATCCTCGATTTATTTAAAGCTCAGTTTATGTGCCAGCTTTTACAGGAAGGTTTTTCCAATCCACATCATTGTTAATATTCTCCTTCTCCTTTTCAGGTTAGAATGTATATTTTTACCAGTTTATATGTGTAATTCCCTAGTAGAATATAAGTCTCTTGAGGGTATACTGAGGTTTCTGTGTGTGTGTGTGTGTGTGTGTGTTTAACGTTTGGTCTTTGTATTCCCCAGGGCCTAGCATAGCGCCCTGCATAGAGTAAGTGCTAATACTTTTGGGGCAGCTAAGTGGTACAGTGGATAGAGCGCTGAACCTAGAGTCAGGAAGACCCTGAGTTCAAATCCAGCCTTAGACACATACTAGCTGGTGACCTTGGGCAAGTCACTTAACCCTGCTTGTCCCAGTTTCCTCATCTGTAAAATGAGCTGAAGAAGGAAATGGCAAACCACTCTAGTATCTTTGCCAAGAAAACACTAAATGGGGTCACAACAAGTTGGACACAACTGAACAACTTTTCAGATACAATTAGATCAGTTTACAATATACTTTGGCCAATGAGACTATGCAAATTCTAAAGTAACCATACAATGCAACATTAGTAATAATTGTACTTGCATTTTGAGAAGGATTTAAGATTATTTTCACATATGCAAACCTTGTGTTTGCGACTTAATTAGGAGCAGATAGGTCAGAGTAGGGATGCTAACATTCAGAGACTGTTTTAATCTAGGGGAAGATTGGAATTATGGGCAGGGGGAGAGAAAGAGGGCATTGGGATAAACCAGGAAGGTCTTAGTAGTGGACAATAGAAAGACATTTGTAAAAGTTATCATTGTTATGACAATCTGGCATCAGGAAGTAAGTAGAAGTCCAGGTAGGCCAATGTCACATCAGAGACGTCCAATGGTGAACAGCAGAATTGGGTGGTATATGACATCAGAGGGATCTGGTACTATGTGATTGAAGCTGGCAGCACAGAAAGTCAGATTCTGATAGAAGTGTGGTGATAGGGACCCCACCAGTAGCAGGGACCCCACCAATCAGAAGTAGGACTATAGCCTTCAGGAAGGCTGAAGAGAGGAAAGAGGAGCCCCATTCCTACAGTGCTCTATCAAACAGAAATCTCACCTGCCTATGTACTTGCTCCTAACAACACAAGAAGTACTGTTATTTGAAGGCCAGTTTAGTAACACAAGGCCCAGAAGCCTAGGCTACTCTTCCATTTAGAGGCTGGCAACAGATAATCTTTGAAAGAGAAAAAGGCTAGTCTTCTTATCAGGGTTATTGACAACAGCCATCTTCCTACTCCAGGATCAATCAATCTTCCTCCTCACTTATGATTTTTCTGCTTTATTTTAGACCACTGTCCTCAGTATATCCAAACAACCAGATTTCTCTGTAACTGGTCAATGGAATGTCATCACCGAGTCTTCTGGGGTGAAGGAATCATCTGTCTTCGATGCTGTTTTGGTTTGCACTGGTCATCATGTTGAACCTTACCTACCACTATCATTTTTTCCAGGCAAGTTATCTGTGCAGACTGTCATCTCGGCTGCATGTTTTAAATTTTAAATAAGAAAGGAAAAGGCGTCGTTAAAACTACAGGATAAGCTATCAAAATTTGTCTTGTGAGAGAAAAAAAATTTGAATTGTTATTCAGCTTAATCTTTAGGGCAACCAACCAATACAGTTGATTCTTTTTGTGTGGAAATACAGTGTGCTGGGGCAGCTAGGTGACGCAATGGATAGAGCACCAGACCTGGAGTCAGGAGAAAATGAGTTGAAATCCAGCCTCAGATATTTACTAGTGGTGTGACCCTGGGCAAGTCATTTAACCCTAGTTGCTGCCAGAAAGAAACAAAGAAATGCAGTGTGAAAGGTCTAGATATGGGTTATTGGACAGAATGGTATAGGTTTTTTAATTTATGCAAGTCTCTAATTTATTGTTTACTATATTGTATAGTAATATCGCCCTGACTCCATTCTTGACAAACCTTCCTTACACATAGATTTAATCATATGGATAAATAGTAGACCTCCACCTTTAGTAATACAGGGAACTTCTGGGTAATAAAACACCCTTCACCAATGCAGATTGGTGCCTTCCCTTCAAGGTCACACAGACAAAGTATGTTCTATTTGAGGCTTAAACATGTCTTCCTGGCTCCAAGGCTATCTCTATTCATTATGAGAAACTGCATATTATTCCTTTTCAAAGTCCTTCAATGGTTCCCTAAATTCATTTCAAATTCTGTGGTCTAGTATTCAAAACCCTCTACCATCTGACAGCACCTTACAGATCTATGCCCATCTCACACTGATCCCTTCATCTACTCTATATCTTAGCTAAATCAGGCTTCTCATCTCCACCTCCTTCTCACACTCGGTGCTTTCTCAGTTCTGGTTAGTTCTTCACACTCTTCCTTATTCCTAGGATGATTATTCTCTGCCCTCACCATGTTGAAATCCTACCTATTCTTAAAAGCCAGTTCAAATGCCACCTCCTCTGTGAAGACCTTCATGATTCCTACGTGCCCAAATCAGTAATGATCTTTCCTCCTAATACCTTATATTCTCCAACTTGCCAAATTCTCACAGAGCAAGCTAATTAAAGGCAGATTTTAACCTTCTCTTCGCCTCTGAGTTTCCTTTTCTTCCCTTTCTTCCTTCTTCCTCAAATCTCACTTTCTGCAGGAGTCACCCCCTTCCAGCTGTGAATGCCTTTCCTTTTTAAATTACCTAATATAAGGGCAGCTAGGTAGTGCAGTGGATAGAACACTGGCCCTGGAGTCAGGAGGACCTGATTTCAAATCTGGCCTCAAACACATAACACTTACTAGCTGTGTGACCCTGGGCAAGTTACTTAACCCCATTGCCCAGCCAAAAACAAAAAAACAAAAACCAAATTACCTAATATAGTTAGACTTCAGAGGCTCTTCTAGATACATATTAATAACAACAATAATAGTAGCTAACATTTATATGGCCCTTATTATGTACCAGGCATTGTGCTAAATGTTTTACAGTTATCCCATTTGAGCCTCACAACAACCCTCGGGAAGTAGGCGCTATTGTTTCCCCCATTTTACAGATGAAGAAACTGAGGCACATAGCAGTTAAGTGACTAAGGGTGGAGTGTCTGAGGCAGAATTTGAACTCAGATCTTCCTGACTCCAAGCCCAGCACTCAATCTACTGCACCACCTAGCTGCCTTTGTTATATATAATCCCATGAACTTAGCACTTTATTTTAGATCTCTCTGTATATATCTTGCATGTACCTTGTTATTTATATGTTGTCTTTCTTCATACCCCACCTCCCCTCAGGGCTTAACATGCTGTCTGGCACATAACAGGTGTTTGATGAATGCTCATTTTTTGATTGGGCTGAACACAGCACCTGGAAGGGAGGGTGGGGTAAGAAAAAACATTACTAATGCATGACTTACTCAAGGACACATGTCCATTTAGTGGTGAAGATGAGACTAGAATTCAGGTTTCACCTAATCCCTCAAATGCAATTCTGAAAACAGCATGAATATTTATAAAGAATGTATACAGTGGCGGCAGCTAAGTAGCACAGTGGATAGAGCACCGGCCCTGAAGTCAGGAGGAACTGAGTTCAAATCCAGTCTCAGACCAAAACACTAGACACTTAACTAGTTATGTGACCCTGGGCAAGTCACTTAACCCCAATTGCCTAAAAATTAAAGAAAAAAAGAATATATACAGTGCTGGATTCTGACATTTGCAATTTCTGGTTTGGAGAAAATCTATGGCCTTTGGATATTCACTTTGGAATGAAATAGGATTTTCAAGGCCTTTTGTTGTTGGTTTTCACTCTTACAGGTATAAGGAAATTTAAAGGACAAATCTTGCATAGCTGGAAATACAAACAGCCTGAAAATTTCAGAGACAAAAGAGTGGTTATGATTGGTCTGGGGAACTCTGGAGCAGACATCACTGTGGATCTCAGCCATGCCGTGAAAAAGGTTCAATTTATTCCCACATCCCAAGGGTTGGTCTTTTAAAGACCTACTAAGTGCTCTCCAGTTGAGAAATTATTGGGAATTTCTATCCTGTCATCTTTTATGACACATACTACATTTCAGTTTTAGTCTTCTTCCTCCCCACTCCCCTCAATATAGTTATATACTATCAATCCCAAAAACCCTAAATAATGTACCGAGGTCTACCTCTTACCTTACTTTTCCCCTTTCTTCTCCATCTCCACTCTCTTCCCTGTTCTGTTCTCTGAAGGGCTAGAAAGCAGCTTGACCCAAAACAAAGCCCTCCTATCCCAAGCTTCTATCCCCATTTACAAGAATAATTAATTGAGAGTCAGTTGATCTAATCTGAAGTTTTTTGCCTTTTGAAAAAGATTTTCCTCAGCACCAGGTCAGGATCATGGGTGCTCAATCGTGTTTCAGATAATGGCTTCCCACTGGATGTTACATACTTTACTCGCTTCAGAAATACCATCCGCCATTTTACCCCCTTGTGCCTACTGAATAGGTGGGGAGAAAACAAACTAAATTCAAGATTCAACCACACAAACTATGGCCTGAAGCCTTCCCACAGGTACAGACTATCATTCTAAAATGCTATTTTCCAGAAAAAAACAAGTTAAATGGAAATGTAGTAATAGAACAGTGGCCCAAAATCTTGAGAGATGGTAAATGGTCCAAATCATTTTCCAGGTTTGTAATTTCTCTAAATTCTCTGAAAGTCTTGTTTCTAGGGATTGAACTGTCAATTCGGAAGTTTCCATTTCATCAGGGACAGAGCCATGAGTAATGTGGAGCAGCTGGGAATTTTTCCAGGCAACAACATTGGTCAGGGAGCTATTATTTTCCCAACACGGCAGCCTGAAGACCACTGTCTCAACACCTCACCACCATCCCTGTACTTCTGTGTCTTATACTAGTCTACACCTATAGTTTGTTGGTAGTGAGGATGGGAGGAGGCATGAAAGGGAAATAATGTAAGATTGTGGGTAGTAAAGATCAAGGAAGGGGAAAGGATGATGGGATATGCATTCTTCTGATACAACTGCATCCCTAGTTAAGCTGTCTTTCCTGGGGCCTGCCTAAATTGCCACCCCATATGTCCCCTATTGGACTCCCCACTCCCAACTAATTTGACACTAGGTGCCAGGATTCCTAATTTCACTTCTAGTCATAAATGCTATAGACAGAATTACTTATTGTATGAGACATTGTACTTGAGGATATATAAGCTGTCTTCCAAATCTAAATTTTAATTTAGTTGGTGGGGATGACTAGGTAAGTGAACCACTTTTAAGAATAAAAAACTGCATTTTCTTTCTCAAAATTATGAAATTTTTGTTCAAATAAAGAACTTTTTCCAACTACAGTTTAAAATTCAAAATTTCACACAAGTAGAAAGTTTCCAAATAATTGAATATGAGAAAGGGGAAAAAAAATTGAAACTAACCGCTTCCAGGCATGTCCTTAGGAAAAGAAATCCATCTCATTGGCATCAAGGTGTGAATTCCTCAGTGGTAACTGACAGGCCTGTGGCTAGGGCCCCCAGATGAATTTTTGCACCACAAACAATAAGTAAATATTCTGCAATGAATAGTCTTATCGAGTCACCTGGGTCACTAAGAGGTTGAGTGGCTTGTCCTAAGTTATACAACCAGCAAAAAAACATAAGTAAGATTTGAAACCTGTCAGAGGTCTTTCTTCTCTCCAAGAGCAACTCTCCATCCACTGGCCACATTTCTTTTCATATGCTTGCTTAGAAATATCAATTAAAATAAGTCATATGGCAGGAAGGCATCATAGAGGTGGAAAACAAGATGGGCTGGTCATTTAGTGGAAGGAAGGATAACTGATGTGTAGCTTGTGACCTCCCTTGGTATCCACAAAATAAGAGATATGGCAGAAGCCCTCCAGTATGTCAGGCAGAAGCACTGTGGAAGAATGCGGACAAGAGTGAATGAGGTACCATCTACACCAATGGAGGAAGCACCCATGAAATAATAATAATGATAGCGATGATAATTATTAGAGCTAGCATTTACACAATGCTTTAAAATTTTCCAAGCACTTTATAAATATTTTGTCATTTTATCCTCACAATTACTCTGGGTAGAAAGTGTTAATATTATTCCCATTTTACAGATGAGAAATTTAAAGATGGCAGAGGTTAAGTGACTCACCAAGGGTCACACAGTAAATATCTGAGACAGGATTTGAACTCAAGTTTTCTGAATTCTAAGTTCTGTGCTCTATCTATCGTGGTCCACCTAGCTTACCTAGATGATGAAATACCATTCCATGGATGTATCATGTTGTTGTTGTTATTGTTCAGTTGTTCAGTAATGTCCCACCCTTTGTCACCCTATGGACCATAGCACACTAGTACTGTCCATGGGGTTTTCTTGGCAAAGATGCTGCAGTAGTTTGCTATTTCCTTCTCTGGTAGATCAAGGCAAATAGAGGTTAAGTGACTTGCCCAGACAGTAAGTAAGTGTCTGAGGCCACATTTGAACTCAGGTCTTCCTGACTCCAGGCCTAGTACTCTATCCACTGAGCCAACTAGCTGTCTCCATACATAGCACCAATTTCTAAATTGTATGTTAAAAATAACATTAGTTTTGGGAATTCACTGACAGTATCATCATGGTCTTCAGCACTCCTTGGCCTGCTTTCAAACAATGAATTTGTACTTACTCAGTACCTATCACACATAAGATAACATGGTAGAATGCTAAAATAGATACAGATAAATACAAAATTGCAATCTTGTTCCTATTCTATAGAAGTTTAAAATCTAATTTAGGAGATAAGAAATAGATGCATGAACGAGAAAGAACGCAATAAAGCAGTAAATGCCAAGGAGCCAATGACTGATACTAGCACTATATTGAAAAATTCTTCTCCCACCAAACTTTAGCAATTGTGGAGATTTTGTGGGCCTTTAGTTGAATGTGTTTGTGCCTATCTGGTGAAACGATGAGCCACAATTAAACAGGTCTTATATTCTTACTACCTCCCTCCAGTGATAAAAGGTCAGTGTAGACCAGTCCCAAAGATTTTCTAGTGCTACAGAAATTCCCTCTTGTTTGTGGGTCAATAGTATCATTGTCCTCTAGAAGAGTACACATTTTAACAAATAGAGTGAAAAAGGCCTGGCATACACTTGGCTGAATGATTGAATCATCCTCAGCATTTTGATGGAGATCCTACATAAACCAGATATCTAAGCTCTTTGCCTTCATTCCTATTTTCTTGAACTTCCCCTAACAGGTTCCTCAGCAAGTATCCTATCGTGGGTGATGACCTCCCCAATGGTATCATCTCTGGCCGAATCACTGTGAAGCCAAATGTGAAGGAATTTACTGAAACTGCTGTGATCTTTGAAGATGGTACCAAAGAAGATAATATTGATGCTGTCATCTTTGCAACGGGTTACTCCTTTCTTTCCCCTTTCTTGAGGAATCTGTCATCAAAATCAAGAATAACCATGTCTCCCTTTACAAACACGTCTTCCCTCCATTTCTGGAAAAGCCAACACTGGCCGTAATTGGCCTTCTCCAGCCTCTAGGGGCCATCATGCCAATTGCAGAGCTGCAGGTCCGAGGGGCTACCCGAGTCTTTAAGGGTAAGAAGGAAAAGTGTGATTAATGAAAGAGGGAAGCAGAAGTCATTCCTTTTTGCTCCTGAACCTTCCAAATCAGATGTTGTGACTCTTGGGTTCTCTCTGGTCAATGCTGCTAGCTCCAAACTCTTGAGCACTGCTCTCTGAGCTGAGGCCACTGGAACCCAGATAAAATGCCCTTTCCTGCTTCCCATGTCTCCTCACATCATCCAGCTTGTATAACTCAGCTTTGATGGATAGTTGAATTTCAATGTAGTGTGAAAGGTATGGGTTGTGGTGCAAAAAACTCTGGGTTTGGAGTCAACTTGAACTTGTGTTTCCACTTTAGCATTGCTACTTATTACCTGTGAGACCTTGGTCCAGTCCTTCTCATCTATAAAATGAGAGAATTGAACCAGAGGTGTCTGGAAGTGTCATAGCCCATTATGATAACAGAGCTGTAAGGGACCTTAGAGATTACGTAAGGTCATCAATTCCCTCATTTTACAGTTGTAAAAACTAAGGCCCAGAGAGATTAAATCACTTGCTTAAGGTTACACAGGTAATAAATTGCTACACTGTAAGCTTCGTGAGGGCAGGCACCATGTCTCCACCCAGATTTGTTTCTCACCCATCACCTAGCCCAGTTCTCTATACATTATAGGTACTTAACTAAATGTTTGTTGAGTTTAATACAGCCTAGAATTTCCAGAAGTCCAACTAATTCTAAGGCAGCTAGGTGGTGCAGTAGAGTGCTGGGCCTAGAGTCAGGAAGACCCAACTTTCTGAGTTCAAATCTGGTCTCAGACACTTCCTAGCTATGTGACCCAGGGCAAGTCACTTAACTCTGTTTGCCTCAGTCTCCTCATCTGTAAAATGAGCTGGAGAAGGAATGGCAAACCGGTCTGGTAACTTTGCCAACAAAACCCTCAATAGGGGAATAAAGAAACTCAAACACAACTGCTCAACAACTCTAGCTGTAAGACCTAGTACCACTGTTTCCTAGGAATCAGTTCCTCTTCTGAAATGACCCAGGAATCCAGTGGCTTTGCCCTAAGACTTTCTTTCTTCTTGCTACTGTGCTCTCTGAGAAATCACTGTCTTTGGTTTCATGGATCTACGTCATTTCAATAGCTGCTAATGTATCTAGATTCCTTCTTTCTGATACCCACCCAGAAGGCTAAACCCAAAGTCAAGGATACCTGCGTTCAAATCTTGCCTCAAACAATTCCTAGTGGTGTGATCCTTGGCAAGCCACTTGCCCTCTGCCTGCCTCAGTTTCCTCATCTGTAAAATGGGAATTATGATAGAACCTACTTCACAGGATTGTTGTAAGGATTAAATAAGGTAATATATGTAAAGCACTTTGTAAACTTAAAAACAATATATAAATGTTATAATAATTGTAATCATTATTATAACATTTATACATTATAATTTTTATTATCATTGTTATCATTGTTATTGTTTTCCTCCTTCACCTCCTACTCCAGGCCACAAGTCTGAGGCTGTGGGTAACTCACTGACATGGCTTATAGTAACCAAAGAACAGCATTTATAAGTTTTTTGTTGTTGTTGTTGTTGTTCGTTTTGTTTTGTTTTTGTTTTTTCCCCAATAACTCCAGGCTCCATTATGACACAATCCTAGTCTGGTCTTATCTGTTGAGTCTTATCAGTTTGCCCTGATACTGACATATGGTAAAGAAAGACCCATCATGCCCATTCACAAGTATTATACCACCTCCTAGTGACAAGTAAACATCTGTCCTTTGACTCTTTTTCAGGTTTGATCAAACTCCCTCCTGAAGGTGTTATGATGGCTGATGTTATCCAAAAGATAAAGGAAAATGAGAAAAGGTACAACTCAATCATACAGGGCTCCGTCTATCCAATCACAGACCTGAATTTTAGACTGTTTTTAAATTCTCTTTTCATGTACTGCACTTGAATTCCTAAAAACTGGGTCCTAATGAGTAATTAATATGCCAACAGTCAATTAACGTATTTACTGACCCTTCTTAATGTGTAGGGCATAATGTTGATCATTAAAGCACACAAAACAGAATAAAAGGTTCCCCCTTCCCTCTAGAAGCAGATGGCTCCAGAGTAGAGAGAGTGAAGCTGATGACTTTGCACAACCCTCCCTCACTTAAATTCAATTCATTTTCAAGTCACGGCATCATCTTTCTGAAGTCATCTGTCCTTCTCAAGAATGAAGAACAGGGCATCTAGGTGACCAGTAGATTGAGCACCAGCCCTGGGGCAGGAGGACCTGAGCTCAAATCTGGCCTCAAACACATGACATTTACTAGCTGCATGACTCTAAGCAAGTCATTTAACCCCGTTGCCTAGACAAAAAAAAAAATAAAGAGAATGAAGAACAAATAACAACAGTCTAGTAAAGAGATAAGATATGCATAGCTAAAAAGATAATCAACACAAGGGAATATAGACAATAAGGGCCAGAGGAGGTCAGGAGAAGAAATCACTGTGGGCCCCAGTGAACTTCTATTTTTTTAAGTTTTGTTAAGTGGAATCACTAAGCAGGAAGTGTGATAGAGGAAAAGGCATTGGATTTATAGTTGGGAGACCTGGGTTCAAGTCCTTGCTCTGATACTCCTTAGTTGTGTGATCCTGGATATATCACTTAATCTTTCTGAACCTCAGTTTCCTCATTCCTAAAATTAGAATAATGATTATTTTGCAAATGAGAACCTTTTTCAATTTGGGTATTCATTTTGAATGATGAGGGAAAAAACTCAACTGATATTTTAAAAAAATAATATTGAATTTTTTATTAGACTACAAAATATTAATTTGGGTATTAAAACATAGGCATTTATGTGAGCCAAAGAAAAACATACATAGGAATAAATGATTATTATATTCTACCATAAGTTCATTCAGGAATAGAATCCAAAATTGTTCTTCATCTGTAAGATGAGTTGGAGAAGGAAATGGTAAACCACTCTAGTATCTTTGCCAAAAAAACCCACTCAAATGGGGTTATGAAAAGTCAGGCACAGCTGAAATGACTCAACAACAAAGAGCGAATGGTGAATTTGCAAACAGATACAAATGAAGAAATTTAGAACTAGAAAGGGCCTCAGGAAAAATGTGAATCATTACTCGATCCATACCACCAACTACAACAGAAGTCAAATACTCAAGAGTTTATTAGAACTGATATCTTACATAGAATAACAGTTAATATTCTTACTTACTACATGCCAGGTACTCTGCTAAGTGCTTACAATAATTATCTCATTTGATCCTCACAATAACCCTGAGAGGTAGGTGCTATTATTATCCCCATTTTACAGATGAAAAAAACTGAGGTAAACAGGGGTTAAGTGACTTGCCCAGGTTCCCACAGCTAATAAATATCTGGGCCTGAATTTTAACTCAGGTCTTCTTGACTCTGGGACCAATGTCTTATCTAGTATACCCCTATATGTAAACATATATGCACTCCTTTGTGTTACAATGCAAATGGAAAGAACATAGGGTGCAGTATGAATCCTGGTTTCACCAGTTGTTAGTTATATGGCCTCTAATTAATCATGTAACCTCTCTATACCTCAGCTTTCTCATCTATAAAATGGGGATGGTAACATTTATACTATCTACCTCATATGGCTGAGACAAAAACCTTGAAAATTGTAAAGCACTTTATCAGTATGAAATTTTTGTCAGTTTTATCATCGCCTCTTGCAACAAACTAGCCTACTTATGTGGGGAAAAAAAAACATGTCAGAGTTAGATGTATAGATAAGACTAGTGCTATCTGGTTAATTCACTTTGAAATTAAGGAATCTCATAAATTATCTTTCCAATAATCTAATTTTACCGACGGGAAACCAAGGCTCAGAAAGAATTAGTGATTTGTCCCAGGTTAGACAAGTGGTAATTAGCATATCTGGATTTGAAATCACTTTCTCTGATTCTAAATCAAGCTTGTTCTATTACTTTGGCAAATACCTCAAAATAATAATTATAAGCTTATCACGGCCACTGTATTAACAAAACAAATATACTGGAACTTATACATATATGTGAGTCTTTCATGTCACTCCTCAGAAGCCTATGAAATTATTCTTCCAATGGTACTTCCATTGGCCCAAAATGTTTTTGAGGAGTCTCTTCTTTTGGCATTGCCTACAAGCTCAGTATTTTGAATATCTCAATGGTAGTTAATTCCTGGCTCCTTGGAGGGTGGATTTGATTTTGGGGAAAAGTTCAAAATCATTCATAACTCACTTGTATAAATAAGATAAGTGGTCAAACTGGGTAATAGCATTTCTGTGAAAGAAAGAAAGAAAGAAAGAAAGAAAGAAAGAAAGAAAGAAAGAAAGAAAGAAAGAAAGAAAGAAGGGAGGGAGGGAGGGAGGGAGGGAGGAAGGAAGGAAGGAAGGAAGGAAGGAAGGAAGGAAGGAAGGAAGGAAGGAAGGAAGGAAAGTGGGGCCCTACTATAAGTCTATGTGACTCATAATATGGCTCTGAAGGTAATTTCAAAGGAAATTCTGAAATTTTTTGCTCAATGGCAACATCGTTTGAATAAGTGTCTGTGTCCCATGGGGAGTACTTAGAAGAACAGAGTGCTAAGCCTGGAGTTTACTGAAAAAAATCACACTAATAGGGATTGTCAATCATCATAATAATCACAATGATAGCATGCCACTTTAAACTTTTCATAGCATTTTGAAATCGATTGCCTTTTTTCCCCCCTCACAACTACAACCTGAATGGCTTTTGGAACCCTCCCCTCAAAAGGTGAGAATGGGATGACTTGTTTGCAAATTTTGTCCTGGGGCCCCAGAATGTAAGCTTTTGTTACCCATTCAGCGAACAATTCCATAAGCATTTATTAAGTAGTCACTAGTAGCCAAGCATTGTAGAATGGGCTGGTGATAAAAAGACAAAAACAAAATAATTTCTGCCCTCAAGGAGTTTATATTCTACCATAAGCTCATTCAGGAATAGAACCCAAATTGTAGCAGCTTGCATGGTTCTTCACCTGTAAGATGAGCTGGAGAAAGAAAAGGTAAACCACTTCAGTATCTTTGCCAAAAAAAACCTTAAATGGAGTTATGAAAAGTCAGACACAGCTGAAATGACTAAATAACAAAGAGTGAGATGGTGAATTTGCAAATGGGTACAAATGAAGAAAAGAGACATAACATTCTTTAGCCTCCGTAGGCTACAACTAGAGAGGACTATTTTCTCATTCTGTCCTGGCCACTATCAATTTTAATACTCCAAAGGGAGTAAAAAGAGCTCTAGATTAGGAGTCAAGAAACCTGGGTGCTAATGTCAACTCTGCCATAGTTGGGCTGTGTGACTTTCACTTTCCTTCTCTGTATTTCTGTTTATTCTTCCATAAAATGAGGAGATTGAGAGTAGACTATCTCTAGTTGCTTCCAGGTCTAAAATTCAGTGATTCTAGGTGGAGATTGTCAAAGTCTCTTTTTAAAAGAAAAACCCAGAAGTTAGTGTCAAGCTTACCCACTGACAGGCTTCCTGTTTCCCTCTCTTTTGTCTCTAGGTATGTGCCTAGTCAACACATCAACTTGCAAGTACAATATATTGAGTACATGGATGAAATTTCCAGCTTCTCTGGAGTCAAGCCCAATGTGCTGTCTCTATTCCTCAGAGATCCAAAACTGGCTTGGGAAGTCTTCTTTGGTCCATGTACACCAATCCAATTCCGTCTCATGGGGCCAGGGAAGTGGGATCAAGCTCGGGAGGCTATCCTATCCCAGAGAAAAAGGATCATCAAAGCAACAAAAACCAGAGATCCCCCCAACAATAGCGAGGAAACTCCCAATTCTTTGGGATTGCTGTTTTTTAAAACTCTGTGGTTCGTGGCATTTTTCATGGCAATTTTTGTTTATTTGTAGTTTGAGTGGTCTCTCCTAGAAAGGACCCAGCTAAGATTTCAAAGTCATTGTCCATCACGTCTGGCACTCCTTTTCACCACCTTCTTCTCTTATTCCTAGTACTTTTCTCTCCCCACCACAGAGGTAATATGAAAAGGCAGAGAGATGTTGACTTTCCCCGTAATATGTAGACAGCTTGGAAACCAAGTAACTTCAGATGGATGCAGTCCTGATCTGCCAGACAAATGTTCATTCTCTTGGGCAGGCACTGGTCCTCAATCCAAGAGATTCGAAGTTAATTCAACCTTTTAGCACTTGTTATCTTCTTAGATGCCTGCTGAGCCAAACTTCAAATGTTCTGGCCCAGGAGCAGAACTTAAATGAGATATAAACAAATAGTTTGTGAGGACCACTGAAGCAGATTGTATAAAAAAAAAATACACCCAGTGAAACAAAATCAAACTTTTTCTAACTTCAAAGAACTGAGAACTATTTTACTGCATTCTGACCATCGCAGAAACTACCAAGGGTCAGGAAATTCTTCCTCATTTCTTTCTCTGCCCCTTCAGGACTCCATTTGAGACTCCTTTCTCTTTGTTATGTTAAGAATAAGGATAGAGAAGAATCCCTCTCCCAAGGGTTAAATGGCCATAAAATTTTTTAAATGATTGAATTCATTTCCTCCAGCTCTTCTCTCTTGAAGGCTGTGGAATTGCCTTTATTCTGAAAACCAGTTCCCCATGGCCTCCTTTCCAACTATTTGACCACTTCTGTAGTTCTCCTCTGAAGGCTTCTCATCTTTTCTATACCTTTCCCTTACTGTAGAGTCCAAATTCACATCTGGACTCAAATGTGACTGGCTTTGGCTGGGGCTGGCTTTGATTTGTTGTTATTATACTCCTACTACAACTCGCATGTCTGTATCAGTGTTGAGACTCTTCGGAGATAATATGCTTATTCTCACAATGTTGCTGTTGCTAAAAAACAAAACAAAAAAAAGCAAAAAAAACCCCACTTTTGGAATTTCTCTTTTGTATTTGCCTTCAAAGCCCATTTACCAGTCACAAATGAAAACTTCTCTCACTGCTTTAATAGATACAACACCATAGTGTTTTGTTGTTGATGCTGCCGCTGTTGAAAGCGATAGTACTCAGCCTGATTGTAGAGTGGTGTCAAAGTTGGGTGCAACCTTAGTGATTACTTGGTCTGATCTTCTCATGAATAGATGAGGGAACTGAGGCACAAGGAAATTAAATGCTCTGCCCAAAGGTGAAAAGCTAGGAAAAGAACTGAGTCAATATTCTTTTCACTTGACCATGCTACCTTCCATCTATCTTAGTCCATATGCTTGCCTCCTGAATGACTTTGGACTGTTACCAAAAATCAGATCCTCCTCCCTCAAAGACTATCCAGAAGAATGTGACCAAGTCTCTGAAATATAATTCCAAAAGGGAAGCTCCCCCCAAATGTTCTTAGCCATGGTAGCTTCATTCAGATAAGGGTCTAATGGTTTGTTACAACTTCAAGAGACACAGTGCTCATTTGGATGGAAGAGCTTCAGCATTCTTTTCTCATTTTTTCTCAAACAAGTAGGCTCCATTATCTTACACTTGGTATACCTGAAGAATTATTTCATCAGTCCTACATTTTGCCTCCTGCAAAATTCTGCTTTCTTTGGAGAGAGAGAGAGAGAGAGAGAGAGAGAGAGAGAGAGAGACAGAGAGAGAGAGAGAGAGAGAGAAAGAGAGAGAGAGAGAGAGAGAGAGAGATTCCCCTCCTACTTCTTAACCAGTTACTATGAAGCCACCAGGAAGTTTGCTTATAAATTAACGTAGTAGTCAAAGGCATCATTCCAATTTCAAGCATCCGTAAGACTTTAAATCTGCCTAACGCTTTAGTCATCTTTTGCAAGGGCTTAACTCAGTCCTTCCTTCAAGCTAATATAGTTACTATCTCAATTTCCAAATCAAGTTAAGTACTAGCCCACAGTTTGTTTGCATTCAAGGTTACCATAATAATCATCATCAACACAATTATACTAATAATTTAAATTTGTATATTTTATTATTACAAAGCATTTTTATATATATTACCTAATTTCATACTGGACTATAAGCTCTAAGAGGGAAAAAATCCATATCCTATTCATCTTTATATTTTATCACAGTTCCCTGTATGTAGTAGACATTCAATAAATATTTTTAAACAAAAGAATGAATGAATTAATAATTTCTCCTAACTCATGAACTCTCCTGCATAGGGAGTCCTATGCTTTTCTGCATAGGAATCTCTGTAAATGTGAACTTGGTCAAAAAGGTAACATATCTTTGTTTTGTCTTAAACATAAACTAACTCAAATACAAGTTCTCACTTTCTCTTTCAACAACACTGGGAATGCAGTTAACTGGCCTCTAGGATTTAGTATTTACCAGAGAAGTCTCTCAATTGAGAGGGATTTATGAAGTCTGATAATGTGTCGTACATAGTATATATAAAGTATACGTAATATCTATAGTATAGTACAGTATACATAGTGTCTATAAAAGTATCTGTTGCTACTATGAGAGAAATGATAATGGCATAGTGAATGGGCTGCATCAAGGAGATTAAACAAGAAACTCAAAGAAAGCTAGCATATCAAAGAAAACAACTTTCAGAAAACAACTGGTAGATGCCAGGTTCATGGAAAGTTTCATAGTAAAGAACATACGGCCCAACAATAGAATGTAGTGCATCAGTTCAGAGAGAAATGCATTCAAGTCACATAGATAGCCTTTGGAGGAGTTGACAGCAAAGTTGCCACATCCTGTGGGGGCACTCTTCTCAGCCATTTTGCTATGGGGAAGAGTCTGCCGAAGGGTCCCCCAAACCCCATATGGAGGTGATGGAAGACTTTATGTGATAAAGCAAATATTGTATCATTTTGCTGTCATCTACAGATTTATGTTACATAATCTTAACAGGGCCCTCACAGAAGAAAGGCAATTTTTTACACTTCCTTAATCAATTCACTATCCCGCTTACCACAGAGGCTTTTTCAAACCTCCCATGATTCCTCTTTGAGCTGAGAACCTTGCCTCATGCTTCAGTGAAAAAACTAAAGCCATTCATTCAGAGTTTCTTCATCTCTCTTCCTCCTCATCTCACATTACTCAGATGCCCCCCACTCTTTCCTCCCTCACCCCTATCTCAAATGAAGAAACAGCCCTTCTCACTGTCAAGGCAAACCCCTCTACATGCACAAGTGATTCCATTCTATTCTGTCTTCTTCAGTAGATTTCCTCCTCTATCATCCCTACTTTTTAACTAATCTGCAGTATCTCTCAGTATATTATTGGCTTCTTCCCTGCTGCCTACAAACATGTTTATGATTCCCCTATCCTTAAAAAATCCTTACTCCATCCATCCATTCATCTATCCATCCATCCATCTCATTATCTTTCTAGATCTCTCCTTCCTTTCATGGCTTAACTTGAGAAAGCCATCCATAATTGGATGGTAACCTTGAATGCAAACAAACTGTGGGCTAGTACTTAACTTGATTTGGAAATTGAGATAGTAACTATATTAGCTTGAAGGAAGGACTGAGTTAAGCCCTTGCAAAAGATGACTAAAGCCATAGGCAGATTTAAAGTCTTATGGATGCATGAAATTAGAATGATGCCTTTGACTACTACGTTAATTTATAAGCAAACTTCCTGGTGGCTTCATAGTAACTGGTTAAGAAGTAGGAGGGGAATCTCTCTCTCTCTCTCTCTCTCTCTCTCTCTCTCTCTCTCTCTCCTTCTAGTCTCACTTCTTAAAACTCTGCAGTCTCTCTTCTGGCCTCATCATTCAGCTGAAACCTTTCTCCAAAGTTACCAATCATCTCTTCATTACCATATCTGATAACCTTTTCTGAATCGTTTATGTGAGGAATTCTATTTCGATAAGTTTACATTTCTGAATAATAATGTAAAAAACACAACCTAACACCAGAGGGCACTATAGAATCAGATTAAATTTCCTGAATTTTTCTGAGTCAGGATCTCAAAGTAATTGGTTGCCAATTTTCCAGGCATTTTCCCTTGGACTATTGCGATAACCTCCTAAGGGGTCTTCATGCTCCAAGCAGCTCTCACACCAGGCCCTCCTCCATTTAGCTGCCAAAATGATTTTCTTAAAAAATAGATAAATTCATGGATACACTACATACATTTAAGCAAAGTAGATATTAAACATAACACCTAACATGTAGCATCACACAGCAGAATAGCACACCATAACAAAATGCACGGGTTACATATGAAGAATTATTTCATCAGTCCTACATTTTGCCTCCTGCAAAATTCTGCTTTCTTTGGAGAGAGAGAGAGAGAGAGAGAGAGTGAGAGAGAGAGAGAGAGAGAGAGAGAGAGAGAGAGAGAAAGAGAGATTCCCCTCCTACTTCTTAACCAGTTGCTATGAAGCCACCAGGAAGTTTGCTTATAAATTAACGTAGTAGTCAAGGGCATGGATACCTACACATATAGCAAAGAAATATGAATAACATTAGCATATCAGCATATACAAAAATCAAAGGAGCATATATATCAGCATATATAACAAAGGAATAATATATTCCTATGTGCAAACATATTGCACAGCAAGCATGTGTCACATATAATATAAGCATACATATATATATATACATATATATATATATATGTATGTATTTTATTGTTACATAAGTAACATATTATTTGCACTCCAGCAATCGGAGTCATCTGACTAAACTGGCAACTTCTATTATTCGAGAAATGTCATGTTATTTTGGTCACTGGCCACTAATCCTAGCACTTCTGCTGTGCTGTCCTGAACTTGTGAGGGACATAGGTTGACTATTGCCATTCTTAGGTTTATTGGTCTGCAGTCCCAGCCTTCAGATTGTTGAAGGTCCAGGCTTACTGTGACTGTCTATGGGTTCTTAGGAAGCCCTCTGTCCCCGGAGAGCCTCAGCAAATATAGTTTGAGACAAAAAAAGGGATTGCCTCTGGGATCAAATGAGATATTTGTAAAGTTCTTAGCAGAGTGCCTAGCACATGGTAGGTACCTTATACCTATTTTCTTCCATCTCTCTCCCTTTTCCTCCCCATCTGAAGAAAGATCCTCCTAGGGCTAGGACCAATGCAGCTGACTTCCCTGACCCTCTGATGAGCACATGCCAAGTCCTTCTCATTTCAATCCCCTTCCAAAGCCTTACTACCTGGACTAGTTCTGATAGCCCACCACCAATCTGGATATATTCTGCTTCCTAGACCTTAGTTGTCTGAATGAATGGAAAGGCATGTATCAAATATTAAATATGTGCCGAGCACTGTTGTAAGTGCTGAAGATTCAAATGGAAAAGCCAGTGTTTCCTCTCAAGCAACTCACATTATAAAAAGAAGAGACCACAGATAAAGAAGGATTCAGGCAGATGTCAAGAGCTAGTAGTGCATAGGGTTCAGTTACAAATAAGCTATACACAAAATAAATAGGAAATAATTAACAAAAGGAATGGGGAAAGCTTCCTATAGAAGATAAGATTTTAGCTGAGGCTGAAAGGAAGCCAGGAAAGACAAAAGGCAGAGATTCAGAGGGAGAGCATTTCAGGCATGGGAAACAGCCAGAGAAAATGCCCAGAGCGGAGAGATGGAATGCCTTATTGGGACAGCCACAAGGAGAGCAGTGTCATAGGTTCAGAGTCCAAGGCAAACTAGAAAAGAGGGAGGAGAGTTCTATGTTACCCAAGACTTTGAATGCCAAACAGAGCATTTTGTATTTGATCCTGGAGGTGATAGGGAGCCACTGGAGTTTATTAAATAGGAGAGTGACATGGTTTGACCTCAGCTTTAGGAAAATCACTTTGGTGGCTGAGTGGAGGTTAGATTGGAGTGGGGAGAGACTTGAGGCAGGCAGACCCACCAGTAACTATTGCAATAGTCCAGACATGAAATGCCACCAGAGTAGTGGCAGGGTCAGAGGAGAGAAGGGGGCATACTTGAGAGATGTTGAAAAGGTGAAATTTACAGGTCTTGCCAACAGCTTGGATATGGGGAGAAAGAAACGGTAGAGAGTTAAAGACGACTCCTAGTTTGCAAGACTGACAGACTGGGAGGATGGTGCTGCCCTCTACATTAATAAGAAAGATAGGATGAGGTGAATGTTTAAGTGGAAAGATAACTTTTTCCATTTGGGATATGTAGAGTATAAGATTTTGGATATGTTTGAGCATAAGTATATGATGAATATGAGATATTTGAGTATAAGAGTTAAGTTTGAGATATCTGAAAAGCAGTTGGAAATGTAAGACTGGAAGCCAGTGGTAGATCCTGAGCTCCAGAGTAGTTGGACAGGCACACTACAGCACCAGGATGCTCCACGTGCCTCAGAATAGCCAAGGAATTGAGCAGATGCCAGCTCTGAGAACTGCCACATGCTTCAGCGTAGCCCTGGGCAAATAGGCAACCTGCAGAGGCCAGACTCCAAGTGTGTCAGTGTAGTCCTGGGCAAACAGCTAACCATCAACTCTACAGGTGGCTGCCAGTATGGGGCCCCAGGCATGTGCTTCAGCCTAGCCCTGGGTGAACAGGCAGCCATAAGCAACCAGACCGCCATGTGCTTCAATGTAACCCTGGAGAAATGCAGAAACACCCTCACTGGCCTCAGCACATGCCAGACACCACCCCTAGGACCCAGGCTCAGCACCAGGTAAGCTTCCAGACCCCTACAGCCTCCAGCAGTGCCAGCCACCCCTCCCTATCCCCTCAGCACAGCACCAGACATGAGGGTCCCCCCCGTGGGCCTTAGGGCAACATCAGTACAACACCATTAAACAGTGAGCACCTGTAGCCCCTGGCACAAGAAACCTGAGATAGTGCCCCTGGGAGCAGAGCTCCAATTTAAAAGAAAGAAAAAAGGCCCCCAAAAAAGATGAGCAAACAACAACAAGAATCTGACCATAGAAGGTTATTATGGTGACAGGGAAGCTCAAGACACAGACTCAGAAGAGGACAACAATGTGAAAACACCTATGGGCAAAACCCCAAAGAAAAATGGGAAGTGGTCTCAAGCCCAGAAAGAACTCATGGTAGAGCTCAAAAAGGAGCCTAAAACTCATATAAGAGAGGTAGAAGAAAAATTGGGGAAAGAAATGAGAGTGATGCAAGAGAATTATGAAAAAAAAAGTCAACAAAAAATAAAAAGGAAATACAAGACTAGAGGTCAGCAAAGAGGTTAGGACAGTGTAGGGAGATTTGAGAATCATCAGCATAAAGATGGTAATTAGCACAGGAGCTGATGAGATCACCAAGTAAAGCAGTATCGAGGGAGAAGAGAACAGGACCCAGGACAGAACCCTGGGGGACACTTAAAGTTAGAAGGTATGACCTGCATGAGGAGCCAGCAAAAGAAACTGAGGAGTGATCAGATAGCTAGGAGGAGAAACAGGAAAGAGTGGTATTCTGAAAACTTAGAGAGAATAGAGTATCAAGGAGGAGACAGTGCTCAACAGGCTTCAGAGAAAATGTTGAGAATGAGGCCTGAGAAAAAGCCTTGGGATTTGGCACTTAGAGATCATTGGTAATGTTGGAAAGAGCAGTTTTGGTGGAATAATAAAGTTGGAAGCTGGACTGTAAGGGCTTAAGAAGATAGCGAGAGGAGAGAAAGTGAAGCCACCCATTGCGTGTGCCTTGGTCGGTTTGTATCAACAGATGGTGTTTGTTTTGGGTTGGTTTTTTTGTTTGTTTTTGCAGGATGGAGGAACATGGGCATATTTGTAAGCAGTAGGGAATGAACCAATAGACGGGAAGATTGAGAATAAGTATAGAGTGGGGATGACAGAGGAAACAATCTGGTGGAGTAGACAAGATGGAATGAGACTGCTTGAATAGGTAGAGGTGGTTAGCCTTGGTAAGGAGTAAAGACATTTCATCATGTGAGACAGGAGATGAAGGAGGAGACAGTAGTAGAAGGCAATTTTCAAGGGTCTTGCTAATGACCAGTAGCATTTTCAAACCAAAAATTCCATATGTTAAAGATGTCCTTTGGGCTACCTCCATTTCCCAGATCCAGAACTTAATTCTTGTTTGTCAAGGGATTCTTTTTTTAAAGAGGGAAAGGTAACAAGAATGTGCTTAAAGCACTCATTATGTGCCAGGCACTATGCTAAGCACTTTTACAAATATTATCTATTTTGATTCTCACAGTAACCTTGGGAGGGAAGATGTATTATAATATACCTTTTTTTTTTACAGTTGAGAAAACTGAGGCAGAGGTTAAGTGATTAACCCAGGATCACAAAGCTAGTAAATATTTGAGGCCAGATTTGAGCTCAGGTCTTCCTGACTCTAAGATTATAATTCTATCCACTGCCTAGCTCTTTTTATTAAAAAACAAACAACAAAATGTGTTTAATATGTGTGATTCTAATTTCAACTATATATATTTTTTGCTTTCTTCACTTTTCTTATGAACCCCCTGTTTGTGTTAAATTATATAAAATCCAAGACAGCAATAATTTTAAGTGCCAACTGTATGCAGAACCTTGTGCAACTACTTGGGATATACAGACAAAATGAAACAGTCTCTAATTCTAGGAGCCTACATTTCCCTGGAGTCATACAACGTGTAAATAAATAAAAGATAACAGATGCATGATCATTGGAAGAAGAGAATAACAATTGGGGAAGTCAACAGAGGTATATATTGTGCTTCTTGACAAGTATAATTGCATTTCTTTAACCACATACTATAGTGCAACACTTAGCTATGTCAAACTAGTTGCTTTAACCCCTCTTATTGGCCAGTGAGATCAAGACAATGCTCTCAGAATTAAATTCAATAAACATTTATTAAGCACCTATTATGTACCAGGCACTATGGTAAGCATTAGAGATACAAATGAGAAAAAGACTTCCTCTGACTTTGAGGAGCTCACAATGTGAGAGGACAATATAAAAAAGCAAACTGGGAAGGGGAATTGGACCAAGAGGAGGTAGCTGGCCAGGAACATGGTGTGACATGGTGTAATATCAAACAGAGCTGCTAATGGAAAACAGAGTTACCTGAAAGTTCAGAGATCTCTACAAAGGAAGGTTTGGGGAGGGGTTTAATGCTCTACCCTCCAGCCCTTCAACCAGAGTGGAAAGGTGACTGAGGGAGGTGTTTAGAATCAAAAACAGACAATTAGAATCATAAGATTTCAGCTCATCCCGAGTGAAGCAAGAAGAGCATCTGATAGAAAGCAGAGAACTACTTGGGTAATTACATATGATAGTGATTGTTTGAAATTATGCCAAAAGGTATATAAGATAAGGGTCTTTTATAACAGTTTTTTACAGGGGCTATGAAACTTAGAGAACTATGGTTATTTTTGCATTCATCTCCTTTTATAGCTCCCAGGATATTCTGAATATGAGTTCCAAATCCTAAACCATAAAGTTACCATAAGGCTTTTTTTTTTTAACATGAGCTGATTCATGGGATCACCAAGTAAAAAAGGTTGTTTTTCTCTTTAAGAACAGCTCCTTCTGTTTTCAATTATTGCCTCTAGAGGAAAAATTGTGCAAGCCACTCCCTCTTATATAAATCCTCATGCCCTTTAGAGAGCATTCAAAGACTCAGAAGACGTGAAGAATAAGAGAAGGTGGCAAAGAGAAGAAAGGTAGACCTTGAGGGATGGGAATGGAAGAGGGGAAAGGTGGGTAACAATGAAAATGCTGGCCATATTCCTACCTCCAACATTACTGGAACAAAGTGTAGTGTACTGTAAGGACAGATCCAGTTAACAAGTTCTAATCAATCTAATCTTTCTGGAAATTATTCCACAATTTGGGCTCAAAATTATATTTTAAAAACTAGTGTGAATAAGCAATACTTCTCAAACTGCGACTTGTTATATTTAGAAGGGGAAATTTGGTGTTCTTACCTCATCTCTGAAACAAGGAAATTGAACTAAACAATCTTTGAAGAGGTCCCTACTTGTTCTAACATTCTATATGGTTTTGCATGATATAGACTGACATGATATAGAGATGAAATGCATGTTTCTGAGAGGGAGGTGAAGGGAAAGACAAGACATTGGGAGGAAGTGTTTCTGAGGTCAAGAAATCTAACAATTGTATTTGGCTGGAATCTTCTTTTAATCATTACACTAAAGTGAAATGTAAGTGAAATAAAGTGAAATATAAATAAATATAAAAAGTGAAATATAGTGAAATACAAAACTATTTGCTTTCCTTATCTTTTAATTTCTCTTGATCACCCTGTGAAAGGAGTTAGGAAGGAATGAAAGTTAAAAGACCAGCAAAAAATGAAGAGGGGAAAAGATTATTAGTTCATAGATGGAATTATTGAGCTCTGAAAAACTGAGAATTAACTATAAAGTAAGGAAAATAAGGAAATGTTTTCCATGGAATTTAGAAGTAGGATATTCAATATGAGAACTGAAAGAGAGTTTGTAAAACACAGTGAAATGACCAAAAGGAGTCATTTGGAATTGGAGTGCGCATAGGAAAGCAAATTATGATGTTGTAGGTTACAGATGGTCCCATTGTGGAAAGTTGCTTCACTAGTGAAGATCAGTATCTCCTCTGGAACTTATGTCTTTAAAGAATAGAAGGAACAGTGGAGACTAAGTGACTTTCCTATGATCACATAGTTAACATGGAGTCAAACCTGAGTTGCCCTGATTCTAAAGCCATCTCTCAATCCACTATGACAAGTTGACTCTTGGAGATCCCTAAACAGTAAAAGGGGAAAATGGGGACAAAACCCAACATGTTTCTCATTAAATCAAACAGGAATATATAATAAATAAATAAATGATAAAATTTTGAGTTAAGTGATGATGCTGGCTGAAGAAGCTTTGCTTGAGCCTCTGTTCTTACAGGCGACCATGGGGAAGAAAATGGCAATAGTTGGAGCAGGAGTGAGCGGCTTGGCCTCCATCAGGACGTGTTTGGAAGAAGGGCTTGAGCCTACCTGCTTTGAGAGGAGTGATGATGTTGGAGGCCTGTGGAAATTCTCGGTCAGTGGACTTTTATTATGCTACAAAGAAAGAAAATTGCTTCATGAGATAGAACCGATTTTTCTGGCTTTTGCTTCAACTTCAAAAATGCCCAAACAGAGAGGTAGTGAACTATATATGCTGAAAGAAGCACATATTGTCAGACATGGTCAAAGTGTGTGTTTCATTTGAGTAGTCTGTTGTTACAAAGGAGGGTTTCTATGATGGGGGAGAGACAGCAATGGGGGAAATGACAGCAATATAAAAAAAGGACATCAATAAAACCTGTTTGTTTAATTATTTCCTCCACCTTCCATAAACTACTTCCAAGCCAGGAACAAATGTAGCAGTGTGAAATTTCAGAGGTCCCTGAGATTGTTTTCTGATGTTAGCCTGGGATTGTTGTTTTTCACTTGCTTCAGTTGTGTCTGACTCTTCATAATCCCATTTGGGGTTATTTTGGCAGAGGTACGGAAGACGTCTTTCTGACTTCAGGACTGGCATTCTATCCTCTGTGCCACCTAGCCTAGGATTAATCATTAGTAAATGAGAAAATTTAGTGTCCAAATATTGTACAACAGTTTATGTTTGGCCACTCACATTTTATTTATTTCAAGAGGAATGACTTAATATGGTTAAGAAAGATCATCATTGTTGGGTAGCATTCTGGTGGTAAGACTCAATGAATTTACACAGTTCATTCCAGTGACAATCGGCACTGAATTATTCATGAAATTCATACCAAAAGGATTCCATCTATATGGGACAGGCCAGAACTTGTATTCCTTTGTCATAGCCTTAGAGAGTTCAGGGTCTCTTGTAAACCCCACTGAGGCCCTGGCATGGGACTTTAGTGAAGGACTTCCGTTTCTCTTTCCCTACCTCCACTATGGTCCCATTTTCAACTTGAATAAAGCCTCCATTCTTCATAGATACTTTGGAGGCAACATGGAGGGTCAGTGGAAGGAGCAGTAACTCTTGAGTCAGAGGAACTGAGTTAAAAATCTCACCTTCTGGAGCAGCTAGGTGGCGTAGTGGATAGAGCACTGGCCCTGGATTCAGGAGGACCTGGGTTCAAATCCAATCTCAGACACTTAACAGTTACTAGCTATGTGACCCTGGGCAAGTCACTTAACCCTGATCAGCTGGGGGGGGGGGGGGGGATCCCACCTTTGCTGTTTACTACTTATATTACCCTGGGCAACTCACTTAACCTCCTTCCATGAGTCTGAGTTTTCTTATTTGTAAAATGAAGAGACTGGATACCTGGTTTCTGAGGCCCCTTGATACTCTATCTCTACGATTCTTTGAATCCTTGAGAAAAATCTCATAATCCAATTAGTAATTCTAGGAGTTATAACCCACTTTCTAGTCTCTACTTATTATATTATAGCCTGAAAAGAAAGGAATATTCTTTAAAGAATTATGGAAGTAAAGTATATATTGGGTTAGATTATTTTGATTTGTTTGTATTTACTTGGTTGGAGGGAGAGGAGACTTTTTAAAATTAATTAATTTTTAATATTCATTTTTTAAAATGTTGAATTACAAATTCTCTCCCTCCCACCCCTCCCCTGCTCACTGAGAAGGCTAGCAATATGATATCAATTATACATGTGAAGGCATGCAAAACATTTCTATATTAGCCATGTTGCAAAAAAAAAAGCGCTGTGTGACCCTGGGCAAGTCACTTAACCCCAATTGCCTTAAAATTAAAAAAAAAGCAAGAAAAAGCAAGAAACATAAAGAAAGTTTAAAAAAAGTATGCTTTGATCTGCACTCAGTGTTCATCAGATCTCTCTCTGGAGGTCGATAGTATTTTTCACCATGGGTCCTTTGGAATTATCTTGGATGGTATTAATCAGAATAAATAAGTCTTTCACATTTGTTCCTTTTTACAATATCACTATTACTGTGTACAGTGTTCTCATTCTATTTACTTCACTTTGCATCAGTTCATATAAGTCTTCCCAGATTTTTCTGAAAAACTTCCCCTCATCATTTCTTACCACAAATACCACTCCATCACAATCATATGCCAAAACTTGTTCAGTCATTCTCCAATTCATTGGCATCTCCTCAATTTCCAGTTCTTTGCCACTATAAAAAGAGCTGCTATAAATATTTTTGTACATATAGGTCCTCTTTCTTTTTCTTTGATCTCTTTGGGATACAGACCTAGTAGTGGTATTGCTATGTCAGTGTCTTATTGTACTGTGGTCATAGTTCAAATTGTTCTCCAGACTGACTGGACCATTTCACAACTCCACCAACAATGCATCAGTGTACTTATTTTTCCACATCCCCTCCAGAATTTATCAGTTTCCTTTCATCTTAGCCAATCAATAAGTGTTAAGTGATACCTCAGAGTTGTTTTAATTTGCGTTTCTCTCATCAATAATGATTTAGAGCATTTTTTCATGCAACTATTGATAGCTTTTATCTCTTCTTCTGAAAACTGCCTGTTAATATCCTTTGACCATTTATCAATTGGGTAATGGCTCTTTTTTTTTAAATAAATTTGGCTCAGTTCCCTATATATTTGAGAGAGGAAAAAAAAGACCTTTATCAAAAGAGAAATTTGCTATAAAAAAAAATCTTCCCCAGTTTCCTGCTTAGGGAGAGGAGATTTAATTAACCAATGACTAGATAATAAGGCAGGTAAGACACCCCAAAGTCTACTAGCAAGCAGTAAGTTTCTTAGTGTTATTACAACATCTGTGTCTATCTTCTTCCTGAACTGCTTATCTTCAAATTACTTTATTTTTACTTACTTTAATGCATCACTAGGTGTCACTGTTTCACAAATAATAAGAAGAAAAAGAGCACTGCAAACACTTCCAAGGAAGCACAGGGTCAAAAGAGAGAATAGAATAAATGAGAGGCGGGGCAGAATTAAGGGAAACATATTTAGTTTTTCACAACATGACTACTATGGAAGTGTTTTGCATGACTACACATGTATAACCTATATCGAGTTGCTTGCCTTCTCAATGAGGGTGTGTGGGAAGGGAGGAAGGGAGAAAATTTGGAACCCAAAATTTTAAAAACAAATGTTAAAAAAAAAATTGTTTTCACATGCAACTGGGAAATAAAATATACAGGAAATGAGGTATAGAAATCTATCCTGCCCTACAGAAAATTGAAGGGGAAGGGGATAAGAGAAGGGGGGGAAGATAGAAGAGAGCGCAGACTAGCAGAAGAGGTAGGTATTCAGAATGTATGCCATCTTGGGATGGGGGGAGGGACGAGATGGGGAGAAAATTTGGAACTCAAAATCTTGTGGAAGTGAATGTTGAAAACTAAAAATTAATAAATTAATAAAAAAAGAAAGGAATCTGTTAAGTATTTGCCGCACATTGTACTAAGAGCTTTGCTATTATTTTCTCATTTGTTAAGTATATACACACCTGTGTATAAATAGTGTTTTTGTAAGGCAAATTTGAAACCACACAATCATATTTTACTTTTATCTTCACTAAGTGAGAATATATCCTAATTAATCAATCATAAATTTTAGACTGTGTGAGAAGTTCTTTGAACTGGAGTGAGGAACAAGAATTGTGTTCAGATAAGCCACAGAAACTTGGCCACACCCCAAAAGAGTAAGACATGCCTGCTTAAATCCCTGAAGAGCCATCTGGGAGGGGGGAACAAAGGAAAGTGGGCCTGGGCTTCACCGTTCGGCCTAGGTCTCCTTCTCCCACTTACCCTTTGACTATAAGAAGACCTGGGAAACTTGGAAGGGTCTGGGCAATGTTGACTTCTATTCACCTATTATTGTCCTAGTTTCATCTCTCTGGCAGCAGATAACAGTGTCTGTATTAGAAGCCAAAAAAAACAGACTAGACATAGATTGACAGCTTCACAAGGAACTCAAGAAAAAAAAGAAAACAGAAAATCAACCTACATAATGCCTAAGGGGAGCCCCTTGAGCACCTCATGAATGGAAGAAAAAGACCTCCCAACAATTAGGAGCTGCCAGCATATGAGTCACATGTACTCTCTAAGATTAAGCCCACTTTTCCATGGATTACATACGTACTTATGGGGGAGTGTGTCATAGATTGGGGGAGAAGGGGATTGCTCTTAGTAAATATCCCTGCTGGGTGGGAGCACCAACCCTGGAGTCAGAAGAACTTGAGTTCAAATCTGACCTCAGATGCTACTTATGTGACCCTGGGCAAGTCATTTAATCCTGTTTCCCTCAGTTTCCTCATCTGTAAAATGAGCTGAAGAAGGAAATAATGGCAAACTCCAGTATCTTTGCCAAGAAAACCCCAAATGGGGTCCCAAAGAGTCAAACATGACAAATTGACTAAACAACAACAAAACTACTTAAGGCTGGCCAACTAAACTTATTCTCAATCGATGAACTTAGAGGCAAACGCACCAGTGGGAACGTGTTCCAATAGCATTAGAGAAACCCCTCCCACCTCTATTCACTCCTCCATCCCTGCAGAACCCCACCGTCGCTCTTCACAGATACTCCTAGAACCTTGAGAAGAAAGATGTAGCCTTGCCCTGGGATGCAAGGCTGTGAGAGTGGAACTCAGGACAAAGGTCATCAGGTCTTGGGTGTGCTACGTGTTATCTATGACATATGCATATGTGTGTACATGCGTATGTGTGGAGAGAGGGAGAGAGAGATCCCAAGGTCAGACTGATAGCGGGAAACTGGAAAGTAAGAAAGATCTCTTCTATGCTGTCTCACTTTTTCCTCTTCTTTCTCCCTAGACTCCCTCAAGTCTGAACTATCTCAAATTCATGTGACATTTCTTTTCCTTTGGAAGATGAAAGAAATCTCAAAATTCCAACAATCTGGGATCAGGGCACTCCTCCACACAGAAGGGGCATTACAGTTGTACATGTTTAATCCCCTCCCCCCAGAACATAAATTTCTTGAGGAAAGGGTTTGTTTTATTTTGGACTATGGAGTTCCTTTGCCTTCTTCGTAGTGAGTACCTGATAAATTTTAAGATAATTGATTTTCAATTCCACAAGTATGTTTTAGTTTTGTGCATTTTCTGAATCTCACATTCCTGGTTCAACCAAAGCTTTTAAATAATGACCCCTGTGAGTCATAGTCAAAGTCTTGTTTTAATCCGTGAATTCATCAGCATCCATTAAGCACTTGGTATGTGCTAGACATTATGCTAGGTGCCGAGGGTACAGGTGCAAAAGTGAAACAGTTCCTGCCCTCGAGAAGCTCACGTTATTCTGGAAGGGCATCAGGGGAGAGGGAATACATGTTCACTGATAAGTAAATACATCTTAAAGACAAAAGAAATAGGTGGATAGTGACATGCTTTCTTTTTACGTCCCTTCTAATCAGCTAAATGCAAAGAGATGCCAGTGGTTAGTTGGAGCATTGACGCATTAACCCATAAGAAAGAAGTCGCCTTTGACACAGGGTAGGGAACCTGTAGCCTCGAGGCCATGTGTGGCCCTCTAGATCCTCAAGTGCAGCCCTTTGACTGAATCCAAACATCTGAGGTTCCAGACCCCTTCTAGAGGATACAAACACCTGGGTTCGAATCCTCCATGGTGGCTCTGGTCCGCAATTGAAAGAGGTCATTTTTGTAAGGTAACACACTGTCTGGCACATAGTAGGTGCTCTATAAATGTTTATTTATCCCCTCCCCCCTAGTCAAGTTCTCAGTACTAACTGGTATTTCTCTAAGACTAAAAGTTGTACTGTATTTTATAACTCCCTAAGGTATTTATCACACATAGGGAGACGGATTGGCCCTGAGATTCATTGGGATAGAGAATTCCTAGATGAGCAAGTTTCCCTTACCAATGCACATTGGCATCTTCTCTACAACTTGTAGTCTTGAGATTTGCCTAGAGCAAGAAAAGGTTAATGACTTGTCTAGGATCACAGACGAAATATGTCAGTATTTATTAAGTGTATTTGGTTCATCTGTGCATGTGCCTTCTGCCATTTTTCGATCATAAGCTCTATGAGGTAGGGCAAAGTGGGGAAGGTATGTGCTCTCTAAAGTTTGCATTTTCCCTCAGTCCCTAGAATAGTGTTCTGCATACACATGGACTACCTAGCAATGTTTGTTAAATTACATTGAATTCGAAAGGGTAAATCATTCCATTGCTGAAATGTTCTGATTATTAGAAAATTTCCTTTCTATAGAACTCTGCCTCCTTTAAATTTCTACCCACTGCTTCTACGTCTACCCTCTGAAGCAAAAGTGAAGTCTGTTCTCATTTATTCATGGTAATCTTTAATATACTTAAAGACAGCTATCATGTTGGCCCTATACTCTCTCTTTGTTTTCCTGGATTATTTCACTCTTAACTGATCTCCCTTCTTCCAGTCTCTACTATCCTACACATTTATTTCCCACAGTCTTCTGAATTGACTTGAGGGCAAAGGTGCGCTTTATACCGGTGAATTAAATTAGAAATTTGCCTCAAGCTTCACAGTCTTGCTCAATTATAGACACCCTGCTTTACATTTTCATATCTATGCTTTTTTTTTCCCCCAGGACCATGCAGAAGAAGGCAGGGCAAGCATTTACCAATCTGTGTTCACCAACTCCTCAAAAGAAATGATGTGTTTCCCAGATTTCCCTTACCCAGATAACTACCCCAATTTCATGCATTGGAGCAAGCTCCTAGATTATATCACCACATTTGCCAAAGAGAAGAATCTCTTAAGATACATAAGGTTTAAGGTAAGCTATTATAAACAGAACCAGTCCTACACAATTTCTTTGAAGCCTCTCCCCTCCAGTCCTCTCCTCTACCTCCACTTTGGGCACTGTTCACTCACTTAACAGCAATTCCTAATACTGGGACCCCCCACACTAGAATGTTCCAATGAAGCCTGGAGGAATTCAGTGATCTACCTCTCTATGCTCCCTTTACAAAAATGTATCTATCCATACTCTAAGAACATTAGTGCTGGAAAGGAGCTTAGCAATTAAACATCTTTATTTTTTTTTCCCGGATGATGCAACAATTTTATTTTCGCAAACTACATAAACTTGACAATTCATGGTTTATATTTCAGTCTAAGCCTTTAGACTATCCTAAACATTTTCCTTATAACACACCTGGCAAATAGTTAACGCAATAGTATTACCCCCTATTAAGGAATCAGGAAACTGAGTCTCAGAGAGGCAAAATGACATATTCACAATCATACAGATAGAGAGAGTCAGTGACATACCTGGGTCTCAAGGTTCCTGAGAGCAGTACTTTTTTTCCGCATTTTGCCACAGAGCCCCTCTGTATTCACACAAGTTGCCCTGTATCATTAAGCAAACATCTTTATTTTGCTATTGAGAAAATTGAGTCTCAGAGAGGTTATAAAGCAAGTCAATGGATAAGAGCAATAGTATGCTGGAAACATACCAACTCTCAGACAATTGTTAAATTTCAGTGTGAATATTTTCACTTTGGAAATCAGCAAATGCTATAAATCAAGGCTTGATTTAGTGTTTTATTTATTTTCTAGACTTAATTAAGGCATGGAGAAAATTTTAATAACACAGATTAAACTTAAAAGCATATTGTACATACAATTTTTCTTCAGAGAGACAGTTCTTAGACATTTACCAGCAAATCCCTGGATATGTAGACACAATTGTGACTCAAAGGCCAGGACTCTTTAGATTATAGATTTCAAATTGGAAGAGACCTTGGGGGGGAAGGGTCATCATTTAGTCTGCCCCTCCTCCTCATTTTACAGATAAGGTAAAGTGACTTGCCCAAAGTCACCAAAGTCACATCCGTAGTAAGGAGCAGGGTCAAGATTGAAAAACATGTCCTTTGATTCCATATCCAGAATTCTTCCCATTTTACCATTCTGGTTCTCCAAAGCTACTTCTACCTCTTTCCACTATGCTATAATGTCTACCTAGGTCCCATCTGACCTTTCAGTTCAATTGCAAAACTCTCTGAGAAATTGCTAGCTAGTCATTACTTAATGTGCCATCTTATTCAAGAGGCCTATCTTGTTTCCCCCAATTGTTAGTGTCCCTTTATATCTCCATCTCAATCTATACTAAATTTTGCCTGCATGTATAGATAGATAGATAGATAGATAGATAGATATAGATATAGATATAGATATATACATATACATACACACATATATGTGTGTATGTATATACATTTAGATGTGTGTATATAGAGAGAGATATATATGTTTGTATCTATATCTATATATTGGTTTGTATACAGGTATTGCATATATCACATCTATATGTGTTTCTGCATGTATAGCTCTAGCTCTGCTTCCTGTTTTTATTTATTTGGGGCCATGTTGTAATCCTCTAATAGAATACAAGCTCCTATAGGGCAGGAACTATCTCACTTTTGACTTTGTATCCCCAGAGCACAGCATGACACCCCACTCTTAGTAGCAGGTGCTTAATAAATGCTTGTTGTTTGTTCATTTGATTGCTAAAGTAATGTGTTATATCTCACCAAAGCACTTAAAAACTCTGGAATCTAAAGGCTGAACTTCTATTTACTAAATTTCAGTTATCACGGTAAGATACAAGAGGATTGGATGGGTGAGAGAAAGAGGAAAATAGGATCTTCCTCATATTCATCAAATCATATGTATGTGTAAGATCTGTTCTGTGTATAAATGGGGTGAATTTTATCCATAAGTCACTCCAAGACCAGATTTTAATTCTCTAGGAGAGGTCACTATGATTCTGAAAATAATTCACTTAAGGCACAAATTACCGTATCACAAATAGAAACCCTATTCAGAAAAGAATTTTACAATAGCATTGTATGTAATTGCAAAAAAAAAAACTGGAAATAGCCTGTGTCCAGGAATAGGGGAATGATGAAATAAAATGTGCTTTATTATTGAAATGCAATACCTAAAGCCATTAAGATGGGTAAGTACGAGGAATACAAATAAGGAAAAACTGAAATAAGATAAGCAGAACCCCACAAAAAAAAATAGAATGCATAGTTACTGTGGCCACATAAAAGAAAAATGAATAGGATAACAGATTCAGAACTGGAAGGGGAAAATGAGTGAGTGGATGAATGAAAATATATTGTTTATTATGTGTAAAGTTCTGTGCTAAGAGCTGAGTATACATATAGAAGAGCATGACAGATCCTGCTCTCATGGAGATCACATTCTAATAGTGGGAGATGATGCACATAGAAGATTTCAGATGGAAGTCAGATGGCAAGGACCAGTGGTCCTTTAGGGTATAGAAGTGAGGGAGACAGAAACGCATCTTCTTTAATTTAATTTTTAATCAATAAAACAAGATCATTTTCTGAAGTGGAACTGTGTGGAAAACAAAGGATTCTGATGGAGACTTAGAGGCAGTAACTGAAAAATTACTGATGTTTCATACAGTGTGGTACAGTGAGAGGGCGGAGATGGGGAAGCCCTAAGAGAACTGGGTTCAAATCCCAGTTCTAATACTTATTACCTTCGTGGCCATGAGCAAATCACTTTGCCCCTCTGGGACTTAGTTTACTGATCTATAAAATGAGGAGGTTAGATCAAATGACCTCTAAGGTCCCTTTCAGCTCTAAATAAAATCTACGATCCCATAATCTTAAAACTCATATGATTCAGAATGTACCATGTGAGCAGGGATAATCACATAACCTTTTTTGGGCCTCAGCTGAAAACTGAGGTTGTAACTTGCCCAGGGTCACATACTTCGTAAGAGTCTGAAGCAGGGTGGAATTCAGATTTTCCTTACTCAAAATCCAGCACTCACACTCCCTGCATGTTGAAGACTAGATGACCTCTAACATATCTTCCTATTCAAAAATGGATAGTCCTATGGGTTGAAATTAATTTAAATGTAAATAATTACTAAGCAAGTTTAGTTCAATTTATTTTCAATATTCTATTCTTAATAAAACATTTCATTATTTTTTTAAGAAAGAGATCCTCTTCAGGAGAAGATTTTGGTCTTAAGGAATGTCAGGTCATTAAAGTTCTCAACATGGAGTTAATGGTCACCCAGATATGACCACTCAAACCCCATGATCTGGAAGAAACCTTGCCCAAGCCCTCTGAATTCAAGTGCTTTCCTTCTGTTCACTATTTTCTACTTATCCTGTATATGTTTGTTTGTACATAGTTGTTGGCATATTGTCTCCTCAATTAGATGGTGAGGTTTTTGGAGTCAGAAAGCGTCTTTTGCCTTTCTTTCTATCCCCAGTGTTTAGTGCAGCTCTTGGCACACAGTAGGTCCTTAATAAATGCTTATTGACTGACTTGTTCTTCTACCTATTAAGCACATTATATCCTCTTTGCCTTCAACTTCAGCAAATTCCATATCGTTAATTGTCCGACCTATTCAGATATGCTACTATTGAGCAGAATGGTTTTTGTTTGTTTTCCTTGAGACCTTGGTCACCGAGATAAAGAAGCGCCCTGATTTCTCTGTTACTGGCCAATGGGACGTTGTGACTGAAAAGGATGGGAAGCAGGAATCAGCTGTGTTTGATGGTGTTCTGATATGTTCAGGACATCATGTGTACCCCAATCTGCCAAAAAATGACTTTCCAGGTGAGTTTAAATACGGCATGCGGTGAAGATTTGGTAAAGCTAGCAGAGGTAAAATGTTGATTGCTTATATTTTTGTGGTTATTATTTTATTGTTTTTCTAAATCACCGAATGGGTAAAACACCTTCTCCCACCCTACTTCGAACCAACCCTATGAGTTCATCAGTGTGGAGAACTGCTTGTGTGGAAGCTCCCTCCATTAATGCAGCTCGATAACTTGGCTTTATTCTTAATCACCAAGGAGTGCTGGAAGACTAAGTAATTTACCCATTGTTGTACAGCCAGTATATGTCAGAGACAGGACTTGAACTCTGGCCCTTCTGATTCTAAACTCAGCCTTCCATCCACTGCCCGTTAGTTCCTCTCTTTCTGAACAGCAGTTTTTAAAATTGTCCATGGGCTTGACAGTAAAAAAAAAAAAAAAAAGCAAGATGCTGCTTTGAGAGCATGGCACCTACAAAACAATTTCTGCAGTTTGTCATAACAAGAAAAGGTAAAAGATGGGTCAAGAGTTAAAGGAAAAACCTCTCCTGATTTTCTTTAGCAAACTCATTAATTATCCCCTTTCCCCCTCAGGACTAAAAGGGTTTAAAGGCAAGACCTATCACAGTCGGGAATACAAGGGACCAGAAGGATTCAAAGGGAAGAGAGTGCTTGTGGTTGGTCTGGGGAATTCAGGCTGTGATATTGCTACAGAGCTGAGTCACACAGCAGCACAGGTATGATTTCCCAGGACGCCTTGTGATTTATCCTTGCCCTAAGTATTATTCCTGTATCAGAAAAGTACTATAACAAGGAACTTGTGATGGCAGAGTTGACTTGGAACTCAAGTAATTAGGGCCAGGTCAGCCTCCCTGTAGAAGTATTAGCATCCACTGAATGATGAAGTCAAAATATGTCTAAGAAAGTACCATTATAGGAAAAATCTGTTTCAAGACATCAATGTCTTCATTCCTAAACATTCTCACCTCACTTTGGTTTTAAAATGCTCTGGATTTTAGGTAAAATCCATAAAAAATTCCTTAGGTATGCCCTAATGCCAATGACACAAACAGCAGGAAGGTTATCTCTAGAAATTGGTCTAATCCCACTGGACTGGGGTCTCCCAGATTGCTTCTAATCACAGAATCACCAAGCCTCATAGCTGGCAAGCACCACAGAGATCACCTGGGTCAGTCCTGTATCTGAACAAGAATCTTCTCTCCAAAATTCTCAGTGAATCAGGTGAAGTTAATCCAACACCATTAAAAATTCATAGTCTAAATGCACCGTCAGGTGATGGAAAGAAGAAAGGTTGAGTCACAGAATCAAAGAAAGGTAGATGAAATCTCAGTGGCTATCTAATCTAATCCATACCCTAAAAAATTTACTAAGGATCTTAGCTGGAAGGGAACCAGAAGCCTTCTAATTCAAACCTCCTCATACAAGGAAAATAAGGTTCAGGGAAGGCATGTGACTTGCCCAAAGTCATATAGGCAGAGTAAGAAGTGAGAATTGATCCCAGGTGTTCCATCTCAAGTCTTTCCATTTTACCCTTGAGAATGAAGGGACACTTACTGCCTGCAAAGCAACCCATTCTACTTTGAAAAGGTCTAATTTTTAGGAAATGTTTTCCTTATTGTTAACTACATCAACTCACAAAGAACATTTGTCAAAGCAAAGAGGTGGGGTGACCCACATTGATCAAATCATGATTTTTTCAACTATTGACAATGTAGGAAAGCAGGTGGCCATACTAGACCAATTAACAATAACAAATGAATATCTATGAAAACCTTACTACTATGGGGAAACCGAAGAAATGCAACCAAGAATTCTTCTTTGTCAAGGAACCTGAAACCTAGCTGAGGAGACAGCATATAGATATTTGAAAGTCAAAATAACAACACAAAGATGTAAGAAGTCAATAAATCATTAAACACCCTTAAGGAAGGATTTTGTATTGTGAGTTCAAAGGAATAGAGAAATCAGTGACAGCTGGAAGAATAGAGCAAAGTCTCACAGAAGAGGAGGGTCTGAAGCTAACCCTTGAAAAATCTAAAGAAATTAGATGAGTAAAGAGGTTTTAGGAAGGAAGGGCATCCCAGATGAGAGGTTAGCATATGAAGGCAGGAGTGTGTTTTGTGCATTTAGGAAACTGACTAGTGTGATTGGGCCAAAATATTTGTTATCAGAGAGTAGTGGGAGATGAACTTGGAAATGTAGATTGAGGCTAGATTATGGAAAGTCTTAACTATCTATACTTACCTAAAAGTGTGAACTTTGCTCTTTAAATAATGAGGAGTGACAAATTTTGATCAGGGGAATGACATGAGCAAACTGAGAAGTTAAGAAGATTATTCTGCAAGATGGACTAGAGAAAGAAATTAGATGCAGGTAAATAGGTCAATCGATGTTTTCTGGTTTTTGTTTTGTTTTGGTTTGGTTTTTTGTGAACCTCGGGAACTATTTTTAGAAATAATTCAAGTGAGTTATCCAGTAACATTTTTAGAGAAATATTTACATTATAGTTGACAAGCAAGTACTTTATAGAGAGATATGTATAATGTCCCTTCTTAAGACTTCAATTTCAGAGTTTGTTGGGGTTCCCCCAATTGAAATTTACCTACTACTTTCCTTCTGTATTGAGAATTTGATTAATATGAAAGTGTGCTTAGAAAATATGACGATAGCATTTATATAGCACTTCAAGGTTTACAAAGCACTTTACAAATATTCCATTTGAGCCTCACAATAACCCTAGGAGATAGGTGCTACTATTATGCCCATTTCACAGGTGAGAAAATTGAGGCACAGCTTAAGTGATTTACCCAAGATTATACAGCTAGTCACCATCCAAGGAAGAATTTGTACAAAGGTCTCCCTGACTCAAGGTCCAACACCGTTACGCCCCTTAGCAGTCTGATTTTACTCATTATTACCAAATTAGAATTCAATCTACCTACTTTTTTTCCAGGTTGTCATTAGTTCTAGAAGTGGATCCTGGGTAATAAGTCGCCTCTGGGATGGTGGGTATCCTTGGGACATGCTATATGTGAACCGCTTTGATAGCTTCCTCAGGAACAACCTCCCTACATCCATCTCTGATTGGTGGTATATGAAGAAGATGAGTGTGAGATTTAAGCATGAGAACTATGGAGTGATGCCTTTAGACGGGTACATTATATTCGAATTCTTATGCAACTGATTATTTTCATGTTAGTACAAGCATTTTATAGGATGGATCCCCTACACACACACACACACACACACACAAATAAGCATAAAATAACATCAAAATGGTGATTAAACCTCAAAACTGGGATCGTGAGGGTGAAATCTAAGTCAAAGGCACACATTGACTGAGCCCATGACTAACTCTGAGGCCAATTCTATGCCGGCAGAGATGCCAAAGTTCAGATGGGTCCAATGAAAATAAGGTTGATTGTGGTTACCAACTGTCAGTCAGTCAATAAACATTTAAGTGCTTACTATGTTCAAAGGACTGTGCCAAGCCTTGAGAATACAAAAAGAGACAAAAGACAGTCCCTGCCCAGCTAAGCCAAGCTGCACAAATGGTTCAGTGGTAGAATGTTCTCTTGCCAGGCAAGACCCCTAGAACTAATTCCCAGCTCATCCACGCTCCCTCCATGGGATTTCCCAAATCCCTTCATGATATTTTGATGCACTTACCTCTGAGAGGCAGTTAGTTAGGTGGCTTAGTGGGTAGAGTGTAGGGTTTAAGAGTCAGGATGACCTAATTGAAACCATACGTCAGATGCATACAGGTAATGTGATCCTAGAGATATTAATCAATTTCTCTGTGCCCACATCTATAAAATGATAGGGCTGGAGATGATGGCCTTTAACTCTTCTAAATCTATAAGACTGTGATAATAAGCTTTTTCACTTGCTACCGGTGTGATGTTAAATATTCTAAGCCCAAGTTGCCTCATCAGTAACATGAGAAGATCATCTTAAATGACCTCCAAAATCCTTACCTATCCTTTCAGGGCATGAGGAACACTTGTGAAAATAAGGAAGAATTTCCTTTTCCATGTTTTTCCTTTTGCCAAAACAATAGCTGGATAGCTATAAACCAGAAATTGGTCCCTAGGGAAGAAACGAACACCATTTTCATGTAAGAAATCGCCAACCTTCCCTCTGGAGATCCCCAGCTCCACTGCTACCACACAAGCCTTAAAATGGCCCACAGTCTCAGGACCATAGTCCTTGCCCCTTTCGCCTCACTTGAATCAGCCAGCTATTGAAAGTATGGGGGCACTGTTTTAATGAAATAAGAAAAATCTTATGACAAAAATTAGGCAGGTTAATCACAAGTATACTGTGAAGAGAGTCTCTTCCTCATGAAGGTCTTTCTCTTTAGATCCCCTCAAAGTCTGGTTTCTTCTCTTAGCTCCATCCTCCTTCCACTCTGTGTTCAAACTAGAGCCCCTTCCCATGAACACTTACTAGCACATCTTTTGAGATGTTTTTTTTCTTCTAGTTTTGACTGGGTGAGTTTCATTCCATTCGCATCACCCCTGCACCCCTCAAAACACATACACATACACACTAATTGAGAAACTTCTGGAATATATGACATATTCGCCTTACAACCTAAATTTTCAGCTCCCCTGCTTCTAGAATATCTATCTCAATTCCTGATTTCTCTCCCTTTCCCTACGCCTAGACCATATGTTCATTTCTATTTTTTCTAATGCTTCTCTCATCCCTGGGGGTGGAATTTGATCTTTCTTTCACCATTTCTTTCACAAACTCAAAGAATTTTAGAACTGGAAACTTAGAGGTTTTTATCCTCATGGAATTTGATACTGGATAAGACACAAACCCAAATGATTATGATATATAATATTGCTGTGTTAGGGGAAGATCATTAATGAGGTGGGGACAGAAAGCTTCTTGAAAAAGTTAGCAAGGATAGCTAGATAAAGCACTGGCTCTGGAGTAAGGAGGACCTGAGTTCAAATCCAGCCTTCAGACACTTGACACTTACTAGCTGTGTGATCCTGGGCAAGTCACTTAACCCCAACTGCCTCAAAAAAAAAAAGTTAGCATTTAAAGTGAATGCTAAAGGCTGATTAAGAATGTAATAGGCAGAGAGGAGGCTGGCGCTCAAGGTAACATACAGACATGTATTCACTCCCAAGTTAAAGAGTTGGTAATGGATCATTTCCTTGAAATAAGGTTTTAATGTGTGTGTTAGGTGTGGGGAGAGGTGGATAAGGAACTGGTTAGGTCACTGGGTTATCTGAACTGGGGAAGAGGCAGTAGTTTCTTGTAGAAGAAAAGGAATACAAAAATGCAAGCTGTGTGAAAGGATTAGGATAAACACACAAGTACATGTGCACGCACACACACACGCACCCCCCACACACACACCCCACCTACTGCACAATTTGCCCAGGATTACTGTGCATTGTAAAACAAGAAAAGCATAGTTGCATTTCCTACATGTTTACCATACTTTGGGCATGAAACGAACACCATCAATATTATACTATTTCCTTTTGTTTATGTAATATCTGATAAAAACAAGTGAAAAATGTTATGTTGGGCTATTGGCTGTCTTCTTCTTGCAGGACACTGAGAAAAGAACCTGTGATCAATGATGACCTTCCAGCCCGCATCCTCTGTGGCATAGTAACCATCAAGCCAAATGTTAAGGAATTTACAGAGACATCTGCAGTATTTCAGGACGGGACAGTGTTTGAAGCCATTGACACTGTCATTTTTGCAACTGGCTATGGTTTTGCCTACCCTTTCCTTGATGAATCAATCATCAAAAGCAGAAACAATGAAGTGACCCTTTTTAAAGGAGTCTTCCCTCCTCCCCTTGAGAAACCAACAATGGCTGTGGTTGGCCTGGTCCAGTCCCTTGGTGCTGCCATACCTACTGTTGACCTGCAGGCCCGATGGGCTGTAAGAGTAATAAAGGGTAGGTAGATGGAAAGATAACTGATAAAGGTGGGACCTGTCAGCATAGTGAATTGAAGACCTAGCTATTTATCTAAGCATGAGCACAGCAGACAAACAGATGGAGTTCTAACAGCAGAGGAGTTCAGTTCAAGAAAGTCAACATCAGAGAGGTCCAGATATAGATATTGGGAACCAGATCTCAGAAAGACAAATTCAGGGACAGATAAAATAGGAGAATTGAGATAGTAGGCAAGAACTAGAGACTGAGGGACTGGAAATAAGAGAGGATTCCAATTGTTTGATGACTATGATATAAAGTGTAGACTTAATCATATGGAAGTAGAGGTACAAAAGAGGGACCCAGTTTCTAAGGAACCAAAATAGCAAAATCAGAATATAACTAGCTAACTAAACCAGTGACCTAGTGACAGTTTGTTATTTATATTATACTAACTTTGGACAAGTTTGATCTCAGGGTCTGGAGCTGGACTGAACTTTTGAGTGAAATGCCCCAAACATCAAAGCCTTTAAGATCAGGGACCCAAACAGGGGTTGGAACAGTCCATTTGGTCCATTTGGGGTTTATATGGTTTTTCTAGACCACCTTCCAGATCTGAAAGCCCTCAAGGAGCCCAAAACTACCCTTAACTCATTCCAGGGTGGTCCTGAACCACTAAAGCAATCAACGCATGTATTTGTCTTCTCCAGAATCCCCCACATCAGAACTGAGAATGGGATGGTCCTCTACTTATAGACTAATATAGTAGCCTAATATCCCACAAATAAGGTGACCTCTGAAAGAAGAATTGGGTCTCCTCTAAATACAACTTCTATTGTACTCCCAATTCCTCAACAATTCCCATGAAACTATCTTCAAGTGTTTGGTCCAATCTCCCTCTTTAAACCTTGAAAAAAGGATGTCCGCTCTCCCTTTCAAGTAGATAAATCACAAAGAATCACAGAAACTAAAAAAAATTATAATGCTCAGATGGCACTTAAGGTCTACAGAGAGCTTGTTTTTTATCTTATTTGATCTTTACAACAATCCTTAAAAGTAAGAACTATTATTATCCCCACTTTGCAAATGAGAGAACTTAGGCTGAGAAAAGGTATATGACAAGTGCCCAGGGTCACAAGGCTAGTAAGTGTCCAAGGCAAAATTTGAGCTCAAATCTTTCCAACTCTAAATCCAAAGTTATATCTACTACACTGATCTAGCCACCTCTTAATCATAGATTAGAAAGGACTTTAGCACCCATCTTATGAAATTGATACTATCCCTAAAAATGGGAAACTCATTCCTGAAATTGAATTTAAACCATTTTGCAAAGATTATTTAAGGAATGACTTGGAATCAGCAACAGCATCAAGATATATGTTGCAGTAGTGGATAAACAACTAATTTTTAACTTAGAAAGATCAGGGTTAAAGGGTCCTGTTGTGGACATTTATAAGCTATGTAACCACAGAGAGATCCCTTAACCTCTCAGTGCCCCCAGAGAATGAGACTAAATCAGAAACAGACAAGTTACTGCATCTGTGGGGGAAGTTTCCACACTAGATATTCCTTTTATTGATGAGGTTGCAAATGGAAACCAAAATGAATAAGAAAGAACAGTAGTAGTAGCAGCATTTCTATAATGGTTTAAGGTTTGCAAAGTGCTTTACAAATATTATCTCATTTTATCTTCATGGCAATCTTCGAAGGTTTTTTTTTACATTTTGCAATGGAAGAAACTGAGGCATACAGAGGTTAAGTGACTTGCCCAGGGTCACACAGCTAGTAAATGTCAGAGGTCACATTTGACCTCAGGTCTTCCTGGTTCCAGATTCAACACTCTATCCACTGTGTCACCTAGCAACCTTAATTATCACCTTCATTACATAATTACTTTAATCTCTGTGACTAGTATAATGTTTTAAAAGGATGAACAAAATCTTCTGGGTAGATCAAAATAATGACTAACTTTTTTGTTACTTCCTAGTATTATTTGAGTTAATATTGTATTAGTCAGAGTTAAAGTTGTCACTGGACTTCTTAATAAAGGACACTCCACTTTAGGTTCAAACCAGACTCTCTCAACTATTTCTGAGTAGTTTCCAACTCACTCAGGGTGAGATGGCATTTTACCACCCAAAATATGATTATGATTTTCTTTTCTAGGGACATGTTCTTTGCCCTCTGTGAGTGATATGATGCATGACATTGATAAGAAAATGAGGAAAAGCCTCAGATGGTAAGAATAGTTCCTTCCTTCCTCCTTTCCTTTCTTCCTTCCTTGTTGAAAGCATGCCTCTTGTAGGTCAGGTAGCAATAAATACTGACATTTAAAATACTGACATCCATTCTTAAGTGATACAGTTTGCTAACTCCATTTAACAAAAAAAGTTATTATATTTTGTTTAGTTTTCAAAATCTAGCCAAATGATATTATTGCTGGTTTCTATTTAATATTAAGACATTTCATTGAGACTATAAATATAAATAAATACCAACAAAATGGAACAGGTCCAAAGAAGGGAGAAGAAAGGAGACTATAGCCTCTATGGACTGATTAAGGGAATCGAGAACATTTTATTGTAGAATAGAATGCTTAAGAGGGATATGATAACTTCTTTAAGTATCTGAAGGAATATCATGTTGGAAAAGGATTATATTTGACTTGCTTATCAAAGATAATAAAACAAGTAGCAGTGGGGTATGCATTATAGAGGCAGATTTCAGCTGGAGATCAGGAAAAACCTTTTACAATTAGAGGTGATCAGTGAGGTACCCAGGAAAGTAATACGTTTCTCGTTACTGGATAACTTCAAGTAGAATTTTCATGACCACTTATCAGGAGTATATAATACAGGACTAGATAGCCTCTAAGGTTCCCTTCAATTCAGAGATTATATGGGATATTGCATCATTAAAATCTGACAAAACTGATTCAAATGTATTTGTAAGAATTCAGTGGGGAATTTATGCCAATGATACACAAATTATTAACAAAAATTAAGAAAAAAAGATATTCTACCAAACTTTCTTTTATGAAACAAAATAGTCCTAATGCCCATACCAAGGACGGGTAAAGCAAACAAAGACAATTGCAAACTAACATTAATGATAAATAGTGATGTAAAAATAATTTAAATAAAATCCTAGCAAAAAACTGCAGGAATGTATACAAAAATAACTTACTATGACCAATTTGTAGTTATATCAGGGATGTAAGGATTGCGAGTGTTGGTGTACTGAAACAACAGGGAGGACGTCTTCAGAAACATAAAGGAAACTTCAAAAGGGCTTATGTCATACACAAAATTCAGCAATTTCTGACCATTTAAATAAACAGAAATTCCCAAAACTATATTATGGGGATAGTAGCAAATATGATTTCTTGGGAAAGTCTAGAACTTTTTAATCATGCCTCAAAAGATTTCATCATATAACATCTATAACAAAGTTTATTTCATCATTAGGAATAGGCAATTGGAATAGGGAAAGGAGGTGCTATCATTCATTGAAACTTAAGTAAAAGGAGGAAAATCAAAATACAAGCACCCACATGCACATAGTAACAAGTGTTCATTTTTCCCATTAAAAGGAAAAAAAGACATTGATGTTAAGCCAGTCATTTGTCATAGAAGCTCATAAACCTATTTTAGGAATGTGGTCTATATTCATGGGTGACCTGTAATTTCAACAGAATGGTGCTTTCACACCCTTTTTTTTTTCCTGAATATGTCTTTTTTCTCTCCCGAGGTTTGGTGACAGTCAGACAATACAGACAGATTATATCACCTATATGGATGAAATTGCCTCCTTCATCGGTGTCAAGCCCAGCATGCTTTGGCTGTTCCTTACAGACCCCAAGCTGGCTGTGGAGGTTTACTTTGGTCCCTGCAGCCCATACCAGTTTCGACTGACAGGACCAGGAAAGTGGAAGGGAGCCAGAAATGCCATCCTGACCCAATGGGATCGGACCTTGAAACCCATGCAGACTCGAGTTGTTGGTCGTCCACAGAAACCTTACCCCCTCTTTGAATGGCTCAAACTACTCGCTGTTCCTATTATACTCATTGCTGTTTTTCTCACTTTGAACTAATAATGAATATCTGGAGGATGTTTAATTCAGAGTCTTGGCTATGCTTGGGATTGGAGCTTTGCTATTTTAAAAATAAAGAGATTTCATATTTTCTTCTTTCTTGTTCAGCAATCCACAAAAGTGCCAAATTGGCATAAATCAGCTCTCCTGGCAAAATAAAATAGAATAAGCCATTTCCACACCTTTAAATAAATACTCATCAAATAAGAAAGATCATCAGGGGTCTTTCTCTTGTCTCAGAAGGATTGTGTCTCAGGTATCCCACAGAGTTATAAATCTAAATCTCATTTAAATAACCTTGAGGGAAAGAGATTGTCCCATTCACACCTGTTCCCATACTCAGAATCCCTTCTCTGTCAGGACTTTTCGCTATGGTGCATGCAGTGTGATATTCTTTTCTATAAGTAATCGTTTGGGTCACTATAGTTGAAAGCTGCAGCAAAATTCTAAGATGGAGCACTATACAGAGAACCATCTGAAGTAATAAAGCTTAACTATGCTGAAATGCATCCCTTTGCCTCTAGCTGATATGGACACAAAACCAATTCCGGTAACAATGATAGGATCCTATTAAATGTGGAAAATTGTAATCAATATAACTCCACTCTCAAGGCTCTGGATATTCTTTCAACCCACAGACCTTTACAGACTCTACTTAAACGCTTGCTTAAGTGCATAATAAGGAATTTATGTCAGTCAGCCCACTTCCTGGGATTCTTACAAAGAAAGAGTATGTTATTAATCAAAAAGTATTTATTAAGCACATATGCTTCAATTTAATCTATAGACTTCAAATATTTTTCACAGTAATATTCTTCACTACTGTAGCCAGCTATTCAGGGACATGGGGCAAATTCAGTTAACAGCAGGACAGAGCAGTGGGGAAATAGAGGATCAGGGAATACCTATAACTATTTAAGAACCCAAGAAATCAGAGAAGCCAAAACTGATGGAAAAGTCAGTGTGTTTGAAAGGGATGGGGCTTGGGGAGAGAAATTTATATAGCTCCTACTCTTAAAACTCACAACAACCCTATGAGGCAAGAGCCATCATAATCCTCATTTTACCATTGAAGAAACTAAGATTAAATGACTTGCCCAGGGTGACACAGCCAGTAAGTGTCTGAGGCTGGATTTGAGCTCAAGACTTCTGGACGCCAGGCCCCCTGTTCTATCTATCCACTGGGTGACGCGCTGTCACTGAGACAGATGCAGAGAAAACTAGTCAGGTATTAGGGAAGCCCATAGATAATAGTAATAAGAATCAGGACAGGATCGAGTAAACTTTACTATTACTAAGACAGGCAATAAACATTGATTAAGTGTTCAGTAAACTTCTTCCCTCGCTTCCCTTCTTTCCTCAGTTTTATACATCTCTTCAGCAGTCTAGACATAAAATTACTCCTCCTCCCTTTTCACCACTTTTATTGCAGTATCACACATTGTCTTAAATTAAAGTTAATTACATAGCCACAGGAATAGCTTGAAAGGGAAACTGTAAAGTTTCTTTCCCTGGAGATCTTTGAATCTAACAGAGACTTTTCTGAATGGGACAGTTTAAATTCAGCAATGCTTTTAGGAAGTAAAATAAATTTAATTAATTCTAGAGGTCCCATACCACCCAAGGATTATAGAAGTTTAAATCAAATATCCTTTTTTTAAATTTATCCCAAGGCCTGTACTTGAATCATTGAACACAGTAAAATCTTTCTTATTGTGTTTGGTAGAAACTACCAGAACATTAACTTAGTCGGCAAAGCTTTCAAAAGCCCAGAGTAACCCTCCATACTTGAAAGGAGCATCAACCTAGAACTTTTCTAGAATGACCAGTAATGTAAAGCACTTTGCGAATCTGAAAGAGATATATGTATATTAGCTATTTATTATTATTATTATTGTGATGATGATGATGATGATGATGATTCCTGGATATGTATTGTTCTAAAACTAGTCTAACAACTATTTTTGCAGTGGCTAAGAATTGGAAATCAAGGGGAAATCCATCAATTGGGGAATGGCTGAACAAGTTATGGTATATGATTGTGATGGAATATTATTGTGCCATAAGAAATGACAAGCAGGATGATTTCAGGAAAACCCAGAAAGAGTTACATGAATTGATGCAAAATGAAGTGAGCAAAACCAGGAGACCATCATACATAATAAAAGCAATATTATACAATGAAGAACTGTGAATGACTTAGCTATTTTCAGCAAGACAATCCCAAAGGACGCATGATGAAACATGCTATCTGCCTCCAGAGAAAGAACTGATAATTATCTGAATGCAGATTGAAGCATACTATTTGTCTCTTTCTTCCTTTAATTCTTTTTTTTTTGTTTGAGTCTTCTTGTGCAGTTCCAACTGCCTTGTTTAATAGATGAGTAAATAGAGATCTACAGAGAGGGTTACATGATTTGCCCAGGTTTTTATAGCTAATGACCATCTGAGGTAATTCAACCAAGATCTCTCTGAATACAAATCCAGCTGTCTATGTAACTATACTATGTTGCCTCCCACTAGGGTCCCCATCAATGAGATCACAAATCTGTAAATTATTTAAGCATGTTTCATAAACTTATTATAATTACTCATTAATTGTTTACAGAGGTACAATTAATTGTTTACATAGGTACAATTTTCTATTTCCAGGTTCCAGTGTCTTAGTAATGAACAGTGAATATTGGCAGAGCCTGACTAACAAGAGGATAGAAAGAAAGAAATAGGAGATTTCCTTACACACACACACACACACACACACACACACCCTCAGGTTCACTCAGGTACCTTCCATAGGAGACAAGAAAAAGGGAGAGAAAGGCATATCAAAACCTACTCCACCCAAATTTTAGCCCTATTAACTTAACTAGGTAAGAACATGTCTCAATCAATCACTTAAAAGACTTAAATATTAAGTTTAAAAAAATGCCTTAAACCAGAATAAGTTGCTCAAGAATTGTGTTGGAATAGGGGCAGCTAGGTGTCACAGTGGATAGAGGCCAGCCCTGAAGTCAGGAGGACCTAAGTTCAAATCTGGGGTCAGATACTTAATAGTTGTATGACTGGGCAAATCACTTAACCCTGATTGTCTCCAGAGAGGGAGAGGAGAGAGGAGAGACAGAGAGATAGAGAGAGAGAGACAGAGAGAGAGAGAGAGAGAGAGAGAGAGAGAGAGAGAGAGAGAGAGAGAGAACTATGTTGGAATAGACTAAAGAAATCTGGCCATACCTGAAGACTCTTCTATAAATTAGTATTGAGTTGGGAAGTACTTTAAAAAATAAATAAAATACAATACAACCCGGCCAATATGAATTTGTGGTTTTCTAAGTCAATATGCAGATTGCAGGGATCCACTTCTATTTGACTTTGACACCACTAGTTTAGCTGAATCACTGCTTAATCTCCACCTAAAACAAGAGAGAGGACTACATCCAACCCGCAGAAAAGTTCTTTCTCTAATGTCTATGGTGAGACAAGCTAGAAATCATCCTGAGGAACCAACTTGCCCTGCATGCATGCAGTTTCCAAGGTCTTTTCCTCTCCATTCCTTAGAACGTTGACTGTCCTTTCTCCTAAAGAGTCTCTCCCAAGAAGCACCAATTCCATTCCTTACAGAGGTACACCACATCACATTCAGCCTTCTTTCTATCCATCTATAGTCACATCTCCTTCACATATTCAGCTGCATGCACAAAGCCCTAGATCTATTTGGAAGCTGGGTTGTTCCATTGTATTCTGTCTTGATCAGACCACTTTGAGAGTTCTGTACTCAGTTCTAGATGCCATAGCTCAGGAAGGATATTGATAAACTCGAGAGTGTCCTGCTGAGAGCAACCAAGGAAGGGAAGGTCCTTGAATCTATGTCAAATGAATATCAGATGAAGGAACTGGTCAAAGAAATAGAGAGTGGGGAAGACATGGTAGTTCCCTTCAAGTATATGAAGGGCTGTCCTAGGGAAGAAGGATTAGATTCATTATTTTTTGGCCCAAGAGGGAAGAACCAAGTCTCAGCTCAAATTCCACCTTTTGAAGCAGCCATTTTTAGCCCCAGAGTGCTAACACTTTCCCCTCTGAAACTTCTCATCTGCTCCATATGAATTCCTACCTTAGAAGTGTCAAAAATGTGGTGGCCCACAACATTCTCGAGTGTGGTGAAACCAGTTTAAAATGTAATTGGGAAATATTTAATGAAATAAAAATACAGTAAAACATAAATAATGCTAATTTATAGTTTTCTAAGTCAATATACAGCCCATAGGAATCAGTTTCAAGGCCTCCATATTTGAAGTTTTTGCCACTGTTGTATGTCACTAATTCTTTATGTTTCTCCTCCGCTAGAATTTGAGCTCTATGTGGCCAGGGACTGTTTTGTCCTTATCTCCCCTAGTGCTTAGTACAATGCCTGGCACAGTTTAATCCCTTTATAAATGTTTTTTGATTGATTAATTGAATCAGGACTAATGGGTAGAAGTTGCTAAGAGCTGAATGGAAAAACTTTTCAACAGTGAGAGCTGTCCTAAAGTGGAATGAACCGCCTTGAGATGTGGTAGGTCCCCCTTCCTTCAATGGGGATGTTGAGTGATTACTTGTCAGGTATTTAATACTAGAGATTCCTTTTAAGAACAGATAAGACATTAACCTCTCCTGGACAGCTAGGTGGTACAGTGGATAGAGCACCAGCCCTGGAGTCAAGAGGATCTGAGTTCAAAATCTGGCATCAGACACTTAGTAGCTGTGTGACCCTAGGCAACTCATTTAATCCAAATTGCCTCAACAACAACAACAAAAAAAAGGAGTGGATAAGACTACCCTTTGGGTTCTGTGATTCTGAGTTGAACAAGAAGTGAGTTGCTGGATCATCACCTTTAAGAAGTTGTAACACGTGTTGAGCGGCCCCAAGCTTATTCCCAAAGTATCTGTGAGTACTCAGGAACTGGCTGCCTCTGCAAACTGTCTAAAGTCACCATGGGAGAGTTTGCCATTGGAGTTTTATCTTCCTTCTTTTCCATACTACATTTTCAGATCAACACTTCCCCAAACCTTGGCTTCTACACAGAGCTTGTAAGCTAGATAAGTATTATATAATTGTATGAAACTAAACTTTATCAGCCAGAAGTGGAGAGAGCCAAAAAGGGAGCTAAGCAGTTAACAACAGATTGAAAATAAACAAGATAAAACCCATTTAAAAAAAGACTACCCAAACAGTAGCAA